CATCAACCACAACTTCTCTGTTCTTGACTCGGTTTTGATTTGACTAGCGTTAAAAAAAAACGATTTATGGGGTGTAAAGAGAACGGAATGAAAGATGGCATCACCGAGGAAACCCCCTCTCCCTATTTCCTCTCCCGGACAATAGAAAAATTGATATGTGACTGAAAGATAGCGTCACAGTCAAAAATTTAGACCATCATTCTCATTGTTATCAGTTTCATCAAACATGATTAAAGTCTTACTTATAGCCACCATTCTTTTTCTCGAGCTCTAGACTTCTAGGTCACGTTCTTAGTGATTGGGGAAAGGGAAAATGAATGATTCAAAGTCCTCAAATTAACTAGGTTTTTTAAGTTATAAAAAATACCAAATATATCCTTTCTATTCTGAATTGTAGTTACTATGTTTTGAAATAAAAAAGACAAGATTTCTTTGTGTTTCCGAAACGCACACGTATTCCGATGTGCTTCCAATATTGATTTTTGTAGGAATTACGTCTCCACGATGTTTCCTCCGAGTTTTTTTTAGTTCAGAAACATTTTTGAAATGAGAAATAAACGTCAAAGGAGCTTCATGGAAACTAGGTACTCTATAGTTCATACAAACAATTCAGATCTATCCACCAAATAAAACACATTTTTTTATGAAAATATTGTTATTCCTTCATCAAGACAAATGTAAAAGATGCATATTTTTTTGTCAACAAGATTCATACATGTATAGTGGAAGACTTCATCAACGTTTAACTCAGTAGTATCGAGTGATGTTAAATAAAACACATTTGTGTTATGAGAATATTGTTATATATCAAAATATTGAATTTCTATGCAGTGTAAGGATACACAGTATACACAGTACTTTTAATGTTTTTTTGTTTCAGTACTTTTAATGTTTTTCTCCACATATATTAAATATCTAGTTATAATCAACATTCCACCATTAAATAACTATAAGGTGTTAATAAGTTATTCAGTTCTACTTCTACTATCTACTATCATACAAGATCTCTATTTTACTATTCATCGTACTATTACTATAGCATACCATTCACGAACACAAACCATGTGGATTTGATATTAAACTAAGATATTGTTATTAGAAGTGGACAAAGGAAAAACATGTTCACAACCATTCCCGTCTAAGTTCTTTCAATGGATATATAAATACAATTAATATTCATAGATATACAAATCACAGACCAAATAGTTGTTACAAAGTAAAAAGACTAGGGTATGCTTTGACTGATCATAGTATACATATCAAATTATTTTTAATCTTTATTTTTCCTAAATATTAGTTAGAATTTGTATAGAAGTAACCAAAGAAAATTAACATGAACATAGCAAATCATGTGAAACAAATCTTGTTATGTTGTGTCTGTGATAAAGAGACAACATGCTCAGCGCAAACTTAGCCGACTGTTTAGATTATAATCCCACAATCATGGTCTAATCTGGTTCTAATCATTCCCTTTTTCTTCTCTTTTAATAAAAAATCGACAGTCGTAAAAAAATGGATTATGAATTTATTAATCTAATAGTGATCAGATCTGATTCTCCCATGCTTTCTTTTCTCTTTCTTGGTTTTTTTTTTTTTTTTTGCTTCTATCTCTATGTACGTGGACATAATGGGAGCGTTATGTGTCTCATTTTTTCTATTGGTCGAAGTCGTACGCCGAAATTACATAAAACCAATCAACTTGATGAATATGTTTTTAACAATCAACAAAAATTAAAAATTAATGATTTTTTTTCCTTTAGCTTTATAAGTCAGTCCCATTCAGGCATTCACTTCCCATGTGCCATCCTGAGTTTGCTAGAATAAATTAATTAAAAATTTATTTGGTTAAAGTAGGCCCAAATTATTTAATTAAAATACAGATGTCTTTAACAAATAATTAATTGGTTCAACCTATTTATTCCACAACTGTTGTAATGTAAGAGCTTTCTTAACGAAGCATTTGTCTATTTTGATATTAATCAACTAACGTGGAAATTTACGGTAACCAAATTATTTTTGCCAACAAACATAATCCTTATATATATGCAATTACATACATATATTTTTGCCCACTAGTTTGGCAAACTAGCACATTGCTAGAAACAATAAACAATGATTTAATTAATCTCCAACCTTTAAATAAAAAAATTGTAAAGATTTTTTCACGAAATACCATTTATGATGGACCAGTTACTACTTTTAAAATATCAGTCAGTATAGATCAAGATAATATTACATTGTTTAATTGTATGAGAATTAGAAAATGTGAAGGTACATGCATAGATTTAGAGGTTGGAGACTTGACTAATTAAACCAATTTTGATATTCTTGTTCAACAAAAGCGTCATAATGGACGCAATCTATCGTATAACTTATCCGTCTGCGTTTCGTCCAATTACTTCCTTGTAAACTCCATAGTTACAATATAGCATTGAGATATAAATAAAAAGTATATACATATAATTATGTATTGTAGACTAATCGTCACATGAAGTATTAATGTCATCCCATCGTAGGACAAATAGATTTGAGGTGGACAGCAACATAGTCCAACCTTCTTTTTTAATTTTATTTTGGTCGCCTCATCTTCCACGTCTCCTCATAATCAAATCACATAATTGCATTCAGATTCCATAAGAGCCACACAAAAAAACTACGCCGGAGTGTTAAACATGATTTATCATAATTGACTGCTGGTACGGAAATAACTATTTACATGCATGGACTCCTCTTTTTAACCAAATAATTAGGAATGTTTGAAAATGCATTCTTCAACATTGTAGTAGTTAAAGCCTAAAAGGATAAAAATTTGAAAGTTTACCATTGTTATATAACTTTTTTTTGTGCAACATCATGTCACCATTGTTATATAACCTTTTGTATCATTAAAAATGGTAATTATGTCGGTTTCGACCAAAAATATACTAATATTTTTCTAATAAAGTGTTCAGTTAGAGTTTTGATCCAGTTTCATGTTAGTTTCATTTTTTAATAGTTGAGGAATAACAGTGACCCAAATTAAATTGTATTTCATATGACTCAGTATAAGATGTTTATTAGTCAGCTTATTTCAGATTTATCAAAAAAAATAATCACTAATTTATAAAGAAATTTAAGTTTCAGTTTGATTTTAATTTTCCGATTTACAGAAACTTATCTATCTACATGTTTCATATTCATTTAACCTTAGCCTTACGCTTCTTCTATACCTGGTTATTCATCATTTGCTTCATGTAACTACTTCACTTGTGTTTCACTTGTATTTGATCAACTTGTAATTTCATCTTTTGCTCAAATGTACTCACCAAAAAATGTCCCTGTAAAAAATTTAGAGGACGAAGAAAAAGGGACATTCAAATAACATGTTTTGACTAATCATTCTTATACGGCAAACATTATTCGATATTTTATAAGAACCCATGTTTGTTTGAGTCGAACATGATGATTCTAAACTATCCGACATTAGGTTTTTATGGTTATTATCTGTTTAGAAATAAATAAATGATCAGTCCGTTTCACTTGGCTGGTTAGCAAAGTACCATATATTCAAAAATCGATCGGACCCATAAGAAAATTAATTAAAGAAAGCGAAACAAGCATGAGAGATTAGTACGAAAACGTAATCTCTCTCAATCTTTAAACGACAAAAGTCTTAATGAAACATATGTACAAGTGACATCGATTTGTCTTCATTGATCTAAAGTAACTAATACTAATTGATGATTTGAAACAATTCAAACTGAAATGACTTCTACGATTGTAAACTCACGAAAGGCAAAACGTGATATATCCAAAGTGGGTTCACTGTGGCGCAGTCCACATCTTATCTGGTACGAACTCGTTGTGAACCGTTGGATGGAGAGATTGATCGTACGGTGGGCGACGATTTCAATTAATTGGGGGTTAACATCATCTTACATGTTTAAGCCGAGTCAAAAAGCTTTATCACGGCAAGTGTTCATTGCCATTACTGGAAATTTGATAAGAGAGCTTTAATATTAAGTCTTTCATTTTTCATAAATAATTTAGTGAACCTAACAGCTGTTTTGATTGAAACTCTATATACCTTCTATCTAGACATTTATGCCCTTTTTACGATAATTTTTTTCTCTTAGTTGCATTTTATGATTTTGTTAACCAATTATTTGTTTTCACTCACGGAAATTAAGGAAAAAAACTAATCTAACCCCTCTATCTACAGTTTATGAACTGCATTACTTTTTATAAAAAACTATGACACTTGATGCTTTTGTGACACTTGATGCATTTGTGATACTTGATAAATTTTTGTGATACTTGACGCATTTATTATAAATTTGAAACGTACAAAATAAAACTATTTTGAATGATTTTTTTTTTTCAAAATCAAACGATTTCAGATAAAACTGAATATATTTAACAACCACATGTAACATGTATGATAATTTCATTTTGAGCATGACATCATCGTAAGCGATTAATTAGTAAAGTCACATAACTCGACTTTTCTATTTATATGATCATCATCGTTATCTCATTATTTTTGGTATAATTTAAACTTCAACATAAATAGATTTCTTGGTCATGCTTAGAAAATTTTTGGTATGATTGAAAAATTCTATAGAATTTGCATATACCGAATAGTCTATAAGTCCAAAGAATTAAGCAAATGTATGGCATAAATTAGTTCAACAAAAAAGGCCTAAAATCAACTACAATGCTCAAAAACTGATATCTTATGTGTCTGGTCTTAACAACAACCACATGGGACATCATTTTTAAGGTGTTCAACACATTAAAACGATACCATTAGATATAATTCTATTATCTCAAAGATAAATAAATTACTAATAGTATATGTATTAGGTAATAAATAAAACTCGGAGGAAAATAATATTAGATGGACCGACAAAGGGTTCAAAGGGTGCCATTAATGGAGGCGACAACACTCGGATCCCCACTGATTCTTTCAGCTTCCATGTCTCATCTCTCTCCCTCTCTCTCTCTCTCTCTCTCTCTCTCTCTCTCTCTCTCTCTCTCTCTCTCTCTCTCTCTCTCTCTCTCTCTCTCTCTCTCTCTCTCTCTCTCTCTCTCTCTCTCCATACTTTACAGTCGAAGTTGCACCCAACATGAGTTTTGTGCAAACCTACGCACCTTTACACCTTAAATATAATGCCCCTCAAGCCCAAACCCTTCAAACACACTTCTCTCCTCTCTTTTTCTCTCTCTCTCTCTCTCTCTCTCTCGTTCCCTCTGTCTCTCTCGTTCTCTTTCCCTTTCTCTAAACATTTAGAGATGGACTATCAGCCAAACACATCTCTACGTCTGAGCCTACCAAGTTACAAGAACCACCAACTAAACCTAGAACTTGTTCTCGAGCCTTCTTCTATGTCTTCGTCTTCTTCTTCTTCCACGAACTCATCATCATGTTTGGAGCAGCCTAGGGTCTTCTCTTGTAACTATTGTCAAAGAAAGTTTTACAGCTCTCAAGCTCTTGGTGGTCATCAAAACGCTCATAAGCTTGAAAGAACCTTAGCCAAAAAGAGTCGTGAACTCTTTAGATCCTCAACCACTGTTGATTCCGATCAGCCTTACCCGTTCTCTGGTCGGTTTGAGCTATACGGCCGTGGCTACGAAGGATTTGTCGACAGCGGCGGCTCGAGGAATTTCTCAGGCCGTCGTGTGCCGGAGAGTAGTCTTGATCAGGATCAGGAGATGAGTCACCTTGACTTGTCGTTAAGGCTCTAAAAAATAATCTTCTATTTTGTTTAGTCACATTATGATATCAATTGTTAAACCTTAAATTCATTGTTTTCGATAAGTCTATTACTTATTAATTAGCTATGCTTGCTTTATGTTAAATCGGATTCACGTTGTAACTATAGTCCTTAATTCAAAACAAAATTTCGGTTTGGAAGATGATACCTTTTTTTTTTTTGGGTTGTCGTTTTACAAGATTTTACTAAAAGAAAAGTATTTTTTTATTAAGTAAAAAAAGAGAGAGAGAGAGAGATGAGTATTTCTATCATATGGATGGTTATTCTAATTATACATCGTATGAGCATATATATTACTGCATTATAAAATGGACGAATGTCGCTTATATATCATACATTATTGATCAATATTACAATGTGCCCCGACAAGGAGACATGTGCAGCGAAACTATACTTAGTTAAGTAAGTTTCTATATATATAACATTTATCCACATATGACACTAATAAATACATATCTATACGTATCGGTATCTATCCGTATATTTACTAATAATTCCATATTCCTCTATTGAACTCATTACGTCATCTAGTCATAAGTTTTTTTTCCCACATATACCACCAATATTTTAATGAATATCCGAGGTTTGATATTTTCATCTCTATACATTTACTAGATGAGTATTTTCACCATGTTCGGATTATATATCATGCTTGAATATCAAAACTTTTAAATAATATAAAGTTAATTTATATAATGGACATTATTCACTTTAAGATGTTATTTACTCTAACATTTAAAAATAATGATGTAGAATTGAAAAGAATACGTCTAATTTTAAATAATCAAATACATAACATCTTAGATCTACAATTTTTATTACTGACAGAAATTTAAAATAGCATGGTGAGATTTAATTGATTGTTAAAACATTTTTAGTGTATATAACCTTTCTGACGTTCAATTGTCATCACTTAAAGGTTTCGTTTAAGTACACACTCAAAGAACGGAAAAATCCAAAGTCAATAGACAGCAAAGTTTTGTATCATACAACAAATTGATTCGTATTTTATTAAATATTCTATATTACAATATTTTCGAACTATAATATTTATTTCTTGCTTATTCATTTATAAGAATTATATTACAACTATTTTCACTAATTTGTTTTGGAATCAATTTAGAACATATATCACCATAAGATCCATAAATTGTGCCGTTCTAAAAGTAAAATAAATAAGAGGGGACTTATCACGAACAAAGGTTGTTGACATATCGTTATTTGTTGAATTGTAAAAGTTTTCAGCCTCCTAATGAGGAAATCTAGTTTCGTAAAGTTATTACATGTACTTGGTACTTTATTATTCATCATGCATTTGCTTCTTGTTTTTAAGCATATGACAGCCGGCAATACCATAGTTTACAGTGCCGTATTGAAATTAATAAAAATAGTTGCAATTTTTTTTTTAATCTGGAAGAAAGTTAAGAATATACTTCAATATGGCACTGTAAACTATATTACATAAGGTGAAAATAATATTTGTCTTCAATTATATATGGCTATCTAATTTTATTTTAGTTGGTTAACCGGTAATTAACAAGTGTACAATACATTATAAAATTAAGAAAATATAATAGACCCGAGTGAAGGTATATCTAGTGGCGTGTATGAGCGAGAGAATGCATGAAATAAAATTAGGACATTTAGTTCAATAATTCAATGTCTGAATTGAGCAAGTCACGATGATCACTTCCTTGAGATAATGTTTCCCTTCTTGATGGCCCAAAAAGTAAGTAATGTTAATTTGAACACAAGAAAAGTTCACCAAGAAAATGAAAAAGCGGATGCCATATTAATTAATCTAGGACACCTTGAAATTTACATTATAACACCTTCTATTAATTTCAGTTTTTTATGAAACAAAGGATACCGAGTGTTGGAAACATAATCCAAGTTAGTTTTATAAACATCATAGATACCAAATTTTAGACTTACGGTTGATCATGGGTTTCATATAATAATTATTAACAACTTGTACTTAAACCAAACTATGACAAACCGATGGTTTAAAGTTTTTCATAATTTGCTCGAATAATTCATTCTAAATGGTAATAAATTTAAGCTGTGTACGTTAAATATTTTTTCATGTTTTTATTTTCTATAGATTTAATTTAGGCTTAAGATTTATCATCTTTTATAACAAATAACCGATTTTTTGTACGGTCACCATTCAAAATAGTGTCAAGCCGGTTTATCGTTAAAATACTTATCATCTCTTTCACGTCGGAACCGATACATGGAATCTTGATAGCTTTCGTTGACATGTGACTGAAGAGATGTGTAAGAGATGAGTGTTGTCGTCCAAATACATATGCAACCTTCTAAACTTTATTAGTTACCAATCTTGTCCATCATTTACAAGAGACCAACAAGTTTTCTAATGGAACTTCCTTTGTCATTATCTCAATTTAATCGATCTTCGTTTTATTTTTCTTGTTCTACATATACCGAGTAAGAGTTTCAGACGTAATGAACTAACATGTGGGTCCAAACGGTGTCGTATATCAAAGTCTTTTTTTATTAGATATACCATATGGTTTTCTTGTGTCATAAAAGAAAGAGAGATTAGACATGAGTTAGAGTAATTCTACTACAATGATTATGTTCTGTTTTGTGATCAGCCAGACTTAAGAAATTCTAAATTTTATGTATGTGAGTTTAAAAAACGATTATGTAGTTAAACATCTGTGACATGAAAGTCAATCATTTTGAGTTGAATTATCGATATATAACATTGATGACTTATTACATCTTTAAGAAAAAAATTACGTATTTACATTTAAAAAAAAATTGTGATTTTTTTTAGCATGCACGTTGGTTAGAAGTAAACTAATACAATTTTTTAAAAGGATTCCATACCCAAAAAAAAAATGAATAGTTACATCTTGGACGGTCTTTATATTATTATTATCCATGGGAAAGTTCCACCAAAAAAATTCTTATTGTTATTAAATATTAATGATTTAGTTATCCTGTTGGTTTGTGGTTTCGGTTTAATCATGGTTTAAGACATATTCAGCTGGTTTGAGTTTAAGTGAACCACAAGTTTGCTGACGGACTTATTTATGTGTTGAAAAGCCCAAGGCCCAGGTGAATAAATATAACAGAGAAATCTCATTCTATTTCGTTACTTTGTTATGTTATCATAACAGAATACTCTGTTTTTGCTCTGTGTTATGTCAGAAAACTCTGTTTCTTTGATCTATTCTCAGGTTAGTCTGCTGGTTAGGTTCGAATCAAATTTTATTATGGTTTAAAAAAAAAATCAACAATATCACCGTAACATGAAATATCAACTACCCAATAAGGGAAACAAATTTTAGAAACTCAAAAGAATAACCAAATCATGAGGTAAAAAATTAGAAAGAAAGAAAGAAACTGCATCAAGTGCTTGAATTTTCTCGGTAAGACAATGATCAGCCGAGGTTGCACTCGGTGGGTAAGCCTTGAGGGAACCTCTCGTAATCAGTACAATAGTTATAGATCATGAACTCATCTTGCACCCACTTCATCTGTCCGAGCTGGTTGGAGCTAAGTGTAGTCCACATCCACGAGTTGCTATTGGCATTACACGTAACCCAATTCCATATCGAGGTCCTGCTACAACAATCAACATCGTTGAAACTCCTGTAGTAAGCGCTGAATGGAGCGTTGGTCCAATCGGTCTTGACTCTACCTCCCTGCGTGGCCCAATCATCAGCTTCCCATAGACTCGAGTAGATCTTCATCGGCTGGCTCTTCGGGTAAGCCACACCGTGAGCCTCGTTGTTCTTGAACACCCGGATTGGGATTCCGTCCACTAGAAAGCTTTTGAGATTCCAAGAAACAAGAAAAGACACAAAATCAAGAACGGTGATCGATTGGATCAAGCTTCTTCTTGATAAAGGTTAAGGCCTAATGATATTTTTTGATTGAGCCACATTACTTACATGATGTTGAGAGGGTTCCAAAGGACGGTGTAGGTGTGGAAATCAGCAGTGGGATCGAACCAGAGATAGAACTGCATCTCACGGTTACCTTTACCTCCGGTGAACACGTTTGTATGTAGAACATAAGGCTGTCCAGTAACATTTCCCAAGAACTCGAAATCAATCTCATCCCATGTCTCGCCTTTAGATGAAAGCTGTGAAAACATTCTTAATATGATCAGATTCAAACTCAATGCAACAAAAAATTCACAAGAAAACGGAGATAGATGTTATGTTATGTACGTAATAAGCAGTGACTGTTCCGGCTGAGTTTCCGGCGACAAGTTTCATCTTCATATCGATCTTTCCGAATAAATACTCCTTTTTGGATTGGAAACCTGAACCAGAGATCTTGTCGAGAGTGCAAGTCAAGAGCTGTCCACTCTCAAATATGTTGGCACGACCATCACCCCACGTGATATCGAAGTTGTCGTAGAAACTTCCGGTGGATACACCAATCAAGAGCACAAGAGACGACAACAACAACAGAGACTGTTTGGTCGCAAAAGCTGCCATTTTTCTTTGCTCTGTTGTTGTTGTTGTTGTTGTTGTTGTTGTAAGTAATTGTTTTGCTGATGGTTTGAATATGATCGGAGTTTGGTGTTTATATATAGAGAGACGTTTTAGAAAACGACTGCATTAGAGGTTCGTGGAGTCCCATTATCAACGTGGTAGTCGTACACTAACGATTTTTTAAATTATATCATATGGATGAATTATGTCAACTTATAAACATATATTAGTCGTTCAACTTACATATAAACTATACATGTGGGTGATGTTGTTTCTTTCTTTTAGCTAGATTTAATTTTCTTTATTTATTTGTTCATGCATTTAGCTCAAACTTATAAGTCTGGTTCATATAAGAAATTTTAATAAGAAAAAAAAAAAACGTTTCTAAACAGTTCGGTTGGCATTTTTAGTTAATTTGTATAGTTAATTAAGCAATAACTCGAAATATTTTATTTTGTTTTGGTTTTTGATAAAATGGACCGACATGTTTTCGAAATTTAGAACGGACATGTCAGCCACATACAGTATTTAAGAATTGTCACGCATAATTTATTAAGGCATTATTAAGGCAACTACGTGAATTATTCTTCAGAGAATCAGAGTCTCCCATTTTTTTGCATAATACTCAAACAGAATTCAGAATATTCATTTCAGGTGGATAAATCTCGGTCAATCATAGTCAAAAGTTCAAAACACTCGATAGTTTATCATGGAATAAAAAACCGATAAAAATCACCCACATGTCATCTGCTTTTTATTCCTATTTTTGAATAGTATGTAAAATTAATTCATCAAAAATAATCGTTTTTACAACAAATACTTCTTTCTGTGAAAAAATTTGGGAGAATAATTTACTTCAATCTAAACTAATAAAAATTTTGATCCTCAAGCAAACCATGCTTCCATTCCTCCTTAGTATCTAGAGAGTATCTATTATCCCCATAGCTTTCGTATTCCTGTGCTTTCTTATAGGCTATAAATTAAATATTTGATTGTACCAGTTGCACATAAGTAACAGTTTAAAGTTTGGGGATAACTCAAACTAACACACGAAATTACATGAAAATCAGAGATGTAATTAAAAATAGTGCATAAGCAATATATAAACACAGATATTATTGATAAATGAATAGAAAAGGAGAGATATAGAGAAGAGATAAAATCTCACTGGCGTAGTTGCTGGTAAAGCAAGCTATGGTTGAGAAATTAGCTTTAAGATATTAAGAGAGATGAATTTTTGACCAGTCGATGAAAGCATATTTTTCTTTATATTAGAGTCGACGAAAGATATCTTTTATTTCTTAACTCGCCGCATTGGTAATTACATGGGAGAGCTACCGGCGGGTTTGTAACTGGTAACTTTTTTTGAAGAGGTTTGCATGGAAAAACTGAATGGTGGTTCAATCTGAGTGTATAAGTTCTTTCTCACTTTGCAATTCATTGGGAATTGTTTTGTTAGTAGACAGATGGTTGAACAATGTATGGGATTAATATTTCAAACACAGATGATACATATTGTTGAGAAAAACCCATCATAACTGATAATTCACACGCGTTTTATTATGTATATATACACAGAACAGAGGAATTTTGTTTAACACACAGACTCATTACATTACATACATAATTTGGATGAACCTATATACATATATACTACTAGCTTCGGAGTTTTTCGGACCAAACATTAATTTTAACTAGACAAGTTCCCAAAACTATTGAAGACGACACTCCTTTGGAAATCCCTGAGGAAACCTTTTGGAGTCGGTACAATAGTTATAGACCATGAACTTCCTCTGCACCGCTCTCATTTTATCTACAGCCGTTAGATCAAGCCTCTGAGAGAACCATCTCGGTGAGACCGCAGAACAGGATGATCTTCCTGCTGAGGAGACACACGCGTCCGCTCTAAAGTTTCTGTAAGAAGCAGTGAATGGTGCGTTGGACCAGTCGGTCTTAACAAGACCTCCTCTTGTAGCCCACTGATCAGCGTTCCACAGACTCGAGTAGAGCCTCATCGGCTGCATTTTCGGATACGGGATCCCTCTATGTTCTAGGTTCTTGAATTGTCTTATCGCAATTCCATCAACCATGAAACTGCACCAAAATACATATATATATTATGAAAGACGGATTAGATGTTATCATGTTAAGGCTTTGAAATTTCTAGTTATAAAAAAATAAAATAAAAAAATACTTACACGATGTGATGAGGGTTCCATAAAACAGAGTAAGTGTGGAAATCAGCCGTTGGATCGAACCAGAGATGAAATTGTTGTTCTCTATCACCTTTGCCTTGAGTATACACATTCGTATGCATCACGTACGGATCACCAGTTAGATTACCAAGAAACTCGAAATCAATCTCATCCCACGTATCACCTTTTGACTTCAACTGCATCAAAAGCAACCACGAACCGTTACTCATGTAAAAAAAAAAAGCATAGAAGACCTATCAAGTAATATCAAGAACATAGAACTATTTGAATACAAATATTATTTGCAAAATTTATATTAAACGTATATTTAATGTGTTACTTTTGTTATTTTAACTAAAGTTCCAATTTATTTACATATTCAACATTTTCTTCAATAGTTTTTTTTTTTAAAAATTCTAACTAGCTTATATTTACTTGCATGTTTCATAGCACATGATAAAAAAAACACCCATGTGAGTCACACACTCTAATCTATATATATAAAATCTGACATGGTAATATCATATAATAAATAATTATGATGTTGTGTAACACTAACGTAGTAGGCAGTGACGGTTCCGGCGGAGTTCCCGGGGACAAGTTTGAGCTGCATATCGATTTTTCCGAACAAATACTCTTTCTTGGTTTGAAAACCAGAGCCGGAGGCTCTATCAAGGGACAGAGTGAGAAGCTCTCCGTTGTTGAGGACTTTGCCACGACCATCACCCCAAGTTATGTCGAATTCTGTGTCGAACGTTCCGGCGAGAACCAGGGAGAAGAAGGTCGAGGTCAAAGCGGTGAGTGTGAATAGTAGAGATAAGATCAAAGTGGAACGGTCCATGCTTGCTTGTGTGTCGATAAAATGAGAATTGATTACATTCATTGGGACCTTGTGTGTTGGGGGACTTTATACAAGGGAGACTAGTCTTACTCCTTTTGGAGTTTAGTTCGCCGTTTGTGACTCTTGTGTTGCTTATTCTGTGAACAGCTGGTTCTTGTTGTGAAGCAAGCATTTGTTTAGTATTGCCTCATGCTACGTGTGCTCGTTCTTTGTTTCGGTCAAAGTCTGCCCAATCCGGTTCGGCTTATGTTTGGTTTTTGGTTTCACCTTCTTTATTTGGTTCTGCCTAAACTTAGTAGTTAGTATGTTGTTTAGTTCAGTTAGGCAAATTTTTATCTTAGTTATGTTTGGTTGTGGATAAAAAAAAAAAGAAAAAAAGGAAGATAGATTAATATATTCTTATGAATAAATTAGTTTTAGCTCTATCAAATTATCTTAGTACTATGTTTGAATTAGGGGTTTATAAATTTTTAGAGCTACATCAGTTATATTAAAACCGGCTTAGTTCGGTTTGTGTGGGATAAAATCATAAAACTAATGATACCAATTAAGTTTACATATACAATTTCAGTTTGATTTCGATGTAATTGCTCAACTAAACAAAAGCGGCCATTTTTGGACAGACTCGGGAGCATAAAATTAAAACGGAACGAACTACGAGAGCCTTTAAAAGTGAAAAAAGATATATTGTTGTAACAAAGAGAATATTGCATTAACAAATTAGTACAAACGAATCAATATAATTCATGTGATCTACCAATAAAAACAAAAGAATTTTCATAACCAACAAAGAAAAAATAATAAACTAGACTTTTTTGTTTCTCTTCTCAACTCTTTACTCTCTACGCAGCTAAGCACTCTTTAGGAAGGCCTCGAGGGAACCTTTTCGAATCGGTACAGTAATTATAGATCATGTAGTTTCTCTGCACCCATCTCATCCTCTCTTGAGCAGTTGAGTCAAGCTCCTGTGACAGCCACGAGCCAGTAGTCCCCTGTTTCGAGCCACTTGGACAAGAAGACTTGCCATTAGACCAAACGCAAGCCTCTTGGTTGAATCCACGGTACGAAGCAGTGAAAGGAGCTTTAGACCAATCGGTTTTCACCAAACCACCTCTCGTGGCCCAGTCATCTGCGTTCCAGAGACTAGAGTACATCCTCATTGGTCGGTTCTTGGGAAACAGAGTGCCTACAGATTCCATGTTCTTGAATTCTCTGATCGGAGTTCCATCGACGGTGAAGATGATTCGTTGTGGGTTCCACAGAATCGTGTAAGTGTGGAAATCAGCTGTTGGGTCGAACCAGAGTTTGAATTGCTGTTCTTTGTCTCCTTTGCCTTGTGTGTAGACATTCGTGTGAAGTGTGTAAGGATCTCCACTTAGATTCCCTAAAAACTCGAAGTCAATCTCGTCCCATGTTGTTCCAGGTGATTTCAGCTGCAAGAAATTAAACAAACCCATCAGTTCTAATTCGTAATTATAATCGTCACAACTGCAAAATGTCAAATTGAGATTTGCTTATTCAACTTACGTAGAGTGTAGTGACTGTTCCTGCGGAGTTTCCAGGGACGAGCTTCATTTGCATGTCGATTTTACCAAACAAGTACTCGTTTTTGGACTGGAAACCAGATCCAGAGGATTTGTCAAGAGATAAAGTGAGAAGCTCTCCATTGTTCTTGATCTGTCCACGTCCATCTCCCCAAGTTATCTCGACGTCTCTTTGAAAATTAGCTGAAACAGAGGAGATGATAAGAGAAAGAAACAGAGGAAGGAAGTAATTGGTCGCCATTTAGAGTTTTGTTTTTGGGGTTTTTATTTGTTTGTTGTTGTTCTTCTTCTATTGGGTTTTGGTTTGTGATTTTGAGGGTTTATGGACGAATGCATATGTATTTATAGTAGTGGTCGTAGGTCGAAAGAGGAAGGTTCGTATATGGTGAAAGGGAAAGGCGCGTTTTAGATGCAACAGCTGGAGATTGGGCCATCTTTGTAGTAAAAAGCTGTCTTCAATTGGCTTTGGAGTTCACGCGGTTTGTTGAGTAATCTTTTCTTTTTTCTTTCTTTTGGGTTTAGTATTTTGGATAATAATATTTTCACTTTTTTTTGTGTGTGTTAGATTTAATCAGATTTGGGAGTTTCGCTATAGAAAAAAATGATGGCTTTGGGAGCTGGATACTTTTACCACCGGCTTGGACCGACTTTGACAGAGAATGAGTTTTCCTCTAATAGAACCAAGAGATTCCGTTAGAACAAAAGAACAAACGAAATGTTTAGTTTCAAAAGTTCATAAGAATGCTGACAAAAAAGTTTACTAGGATAAGGTTATAATTATGAGTTTTAATTTTATTTATTGGTGATTGTAAAACATCAATTCATCTAACGGTTCTACAGTGTTTCTTAATGATAAAAGAAATTAGATATAGTTATTTTTCCATTTTTCAGTTTTTTTTTGGTTTGTTTCTGTTAACATCTCAATTTTCAGTTGATTTATTTAGTGGTTTTACAATTTATAATTCAATTATCTTGATTTCAATATTCATGGTTTCAATATATAACTCGAAATTAAAACTCATTTAAGTTGAGTATTTATTTTTCATTAATAAATTAAAAATTTAATGTGGTGGAAGAAGAGAGATGCCACGTTAAAGAGATAAGGTAGTTGTTGGGTAAAATCATGATTTTTGACTGACTCAAAATGTTTGATGTCGAAGTGGTGGAGACAGCTAAGGCATTCAACTTGATGACGGTCGTGGTCCGGAAGTTTCTGTAAGTCCAAGTGGCTAGATCCTTTGAGCAGTCCGAACTCTTACGTAAAGTCTAGAAATCTAAATTTGATCAAATCCTTGTGTAGATATCTACGAAAAAAGCAGTTGTTATAGATTTGAACTGTTGACGAGTTTTTGTACTTACATGATTTCACGATTTGGGTTTAGAATTCTTTACTCTTTGAAAAAGAAAAACACTGGAATTGACATGTATGAATCTTTAAACAATTTCCATGATAGCGATTAAATTTCCTCGTAATATCTATTTGCACTTTGTTTAGATTTTTCTTAAGTTTTTAGGTGAGAAAAAAGATTAAATTACCCTTGTTACAAAAAAAAAGTTTAAATACAAATGACCAAAGTAAGATACTATTAAGATATTTGTTTATTTCAACTTTAATGGGCCTAAACAAGAAAGGTATGTTTCAAGTAACTGGGCCTATGTAAACCTATAATTTCTGACTTGCACTCAAAGCTAGTCTTGGTTCTCTAGTTGACTTGCTCTCAAAGGTTTTTACTTTTTAGTCTTGATTCGCTTATTGCCTTATTGGTATGTAAAATGTTAGGGCTTCACACATTGTTTGCTAGATTCTAGAGTTTGCTTGAGTTTTCTGTTAAAATGGTACACTCAATATTGAACATGGAATTTTTTTTTTCCACTTATGGTTGGAAAATTTGGTTATTTATCATAGATTCAAAATTGAAAATAAATTGGTCACTCAGAGTGACTCACTCTCTTTGATTGGTTTCCATGTAAAGACAGAACTTAAACCCCAACCGTTATAAACGCATGGATAAAGAAGAATCTTCTAGCTGAAATTAAACCCTCACTTGACTTTTTACATGTGTTAAACAAGAGCTGGCTTCACTTTCCATCTGTTGCTCTGTTTTCTCACAACCCAAAGCTTGACCATCTCTACACACAAATTCTTCTCCTTCTATTCCTCTGTCTCACCCAGATGTCACTGTCTATCCTCTCTATATCTTTCCTCAGCTATAAATTTCTTACACAAAACAACTTAAGCCCGACCCACTGTCAAAGCTCCCAAAACAAGACATGGGTTCTTCACAAATCTTGATCTTTGTGTCTATTCTGTCATGTTCTTCATTAATCTTGGCAGGTGATTTCAGACAAGATGTTGATATTATATGGGGAAACGACAAAGCAAAGATACTCGAAAACGGCCAAGCCATTACATTGTCTCTTGACAAAGTTTCAGGCTCTGGTTTTCAATCTCAAGCTCAGTTTTTGTTCGGTAAGATCTCTATGGAGATAAAACTTGTCCCTGGAAACTCAGCCGGTACTGTCACATCTTTCTATGTAAGAATATTTAAAACTCAACTCTATCATTGAATCATTTTTGGTACGATATTAGAAGTTATTTACGCATGTGTGTGTGGGTGTGTTATGTAGCTAGCGTCTAAAGGAGCGATGTGGGATGAGATAGACTTCGAATTCTTGGGGAATCTGAGTCGTGATCCTTACACAGTCCACACAAATGTGATCACACAAGGCAAAGGTGATAGAGAACAACAGTTTCGTCTCTGGTTCGATCCCACCATTGATTTTCACACCTACTCCATCCTCTGGAACCCTAAAACCATAGTGTAAAATCTAGATATCTAATCTCTGTTCATCTCTTAACATAAGAAACAAAATCCATATATATATCAATATTTAAGAGTCGGTGCGTTAACAGATTCTATGTGGATGGTACACCGATAAGAGAATTCAAGAACATGAAGACGATGAACGTATCTTATCCGGAGAAACAAGAAATGAGAGTCCATTCCAGCCTATGGAACGGAGATGATTGGGCTACGAGAGGAGGGCTCGTGAAGACTGACTGGTCCAAAGCGCCATTCACCGCTTATTACAGGAACTATGAGGTTCAAGAATGTGTTTGGTCGGTCCGTGGCTCTAATGTATCTTGCGGTGGTGGTGATTCGAGCTCATGGTTCAAGGAAGGGATCGATGAAAATAGCATGAAGACGCTTAAGTGGGTGCAAAGTAACTTCATGATCTATGATTATTGCAATGACTCGAAAAGATTTCGTCTAGGGTTGGCTACTGAATGTGTTGCTCTGAATTAAAATTTTAAAGTATTTCTTATACAAAAATTATAACAAATATGAAACCCTTAATCCGTTAATTATAAATATATAAGGGATTTTAACTGAATTCATCAAAAGGAATACAATAACACAGAACACTAATGAACGTTCATATATAAATTACAAAATTCAAATCTCAATCACACAAACCTAACCAACACAAGACCCAAAAACTCAAAGGGGCATGATGGATATCACTTGGTTTAGAACACAACACACAAGACAAAAGTGGCAAAAACAATCAACCACTTATTGAACTAAATAAAACCAAATCCAAGCTAGAGCTCCAAGAAGAGATTGAGAAAGGAGCAATAATGTTAAGCAATGGGATTAGTGGGATTAAGCCAATAAGGGTAAGGGACCAGCGAGGGTTCACGTGAATCACGTGGGGGATCGAAGGAACGGACTATTCCAGTAGCAAGATCGTAAGAACCAATGCCCGGGCCAATGTAATAAATAGAGTTAGGCTTGAGCCCCGGGTACATGCTTGCCGAGACACAGAAGGCTTCACTCTTGCCAAGGAAGATGCAGAGATCTCCAATATCTTCAGTGTAATAAAAGTCTTTGCTCTTCTCATCTTCCCTAAACACCATGAACCGCTTAGTTATGCCGTGCATAAGTATATATTCCCCGTGCTGTCTGCGAATGCAATCTGTGTACCTAGAGAGAAACAAGGAGCTCAATCTCTACTCTACTATTAATTGGACTGATTTTAAAAAAATATTTTAAGAAATTCGAAATACCAACCACTTGATGAAGAAAAGTTCACCAGAGGGACATTCCACTAAGTGGTTGCTCATGAAACATTTATCCAACATCTCCCAACCTGCCCCTCCGATCTTAGGCTGGTCTCGTAGGCGTAGTTCTTGAAAGTCGAGCTCGTTGTCGGTGAGATCTAAAGAACCCATGTAGAGACCTTTAAAGCTGGTAAAGTAAAAGGCTTTGTCTCTCTTGGAATACATGAGATCAGAGGGTGGTAAAAGAGAGTAAGGGGTGTCAATGTGAGTCCACTTAGAGTCACAACATACACTTAGCTGATACTCACTGAACTTTGCAGCCACAACCAAGTCCTTGTCATGGACAGGATCAGAAGAAGAGAGAGACACTTCCGTGGCATGTGTCGAGGGTTTAAACCCGATTGAAGGCAATGATATGACTTTTGGAGATGATGAGATCCAGGGCTTGTACAGATCCGTGAGACGTACGGTAAAATCTTTATTCTCCAGACAAGCGACCCAGCCTTGTGATGTTCCAAGAAGAGGTTGTCCATTGAGCTCCTTTGGAACCGTCTTCTCACTGCTATACACTCTATCTCCTGTTGTCGGGTCGAGAAACCTGTGCTTACCGATTTGACCCTCCGGAGAATCTCGCAACTTTTTGCCGCCCAGCAGCAAATACGGAGACTGAGGCAATGATGATGAGAAGAAACGAGCATTGTCCCTGCGTACCTGTCGAACATGTACTTAGAAAGCTTTAACAATGTACATATTTCAAGACAGTTGAGTAGGAAGAATCAAAGAAATTGTCATATGGAAGGATGAGTGAGTATCTTACAGTGAACTTCGAGATTCGGTTGAAAAACAGAGACATTGTCTTTCTTCTTTTTCTCTTTCGGAAATCCAAAGAACCCTAATTTCTCAATAAAAAGACCATGGGCAGCTTTGGCTTTGGGAAATTCTCCTGAACTTCTTTTCTTCCATTTCTCTAAATTTACTCGAGATGCGAAATTCCAGAAACGGAAACCTTTCCTATTGATGATGATTATTTAGATTATTATTGAGTTTTACCTTTTTTAGTTTTTGTTAAACAAGTTTTTCCTTTTGATTCTTTTTCCACACAACCCAACTAGTATTCAATTGCACGCGTTTAAACCTATTGGGCCCGTTTTCTAAGGCCTGTTAGAGGATTGAATCGACTTAATATTCTTCGTTCGAGATTCGGTTAACAAAATATGTACAATTTGAAATATCTATTGTTTTGTTTTGACTTCTTTTTCTTCAAATAATTTATATTAATCGACTTTGGTATAGTGTTTTTTTTATCGAACTTTCAATGTTTCGATGTTTAATTACATAATTAAAAATAACTATTTGATTAAAAAAATTCGAGGAATTAGATTTTAAGTAAGTTTCACATGTTCATATTAGTGAGAAAATAAAATAGCATAACGCAAATTAACTTTAAAAAAATTAAACATTAGATCGTGATTCGTCACTCACACATCAGAACACTGAAAGAAAATACAATTAAAAACTAAGACAACAGTAAAAAATAAAAAACACAATTTAAAAGTAATTTATTTTGCATATTTGCAACCATCACAACCAAAGCACAAACTGGAGCCATCTATGCCAAACTCATTGAAACATTTGTTTTAAGCCTCCAAATTTGTTTGTTTAATTTAGTTTATAAATTTTTTTTAAAAAAAATTCTTTTTTTATAAAACCAATTAAACCGCATTTTTATTTTTTGTTTCAAAGCCCAAAATTTTAGATCAGGCCTGGCCTTGCATCCAGGGAAACCACAACGGCTGCAACCGGAGCATCCGCTGCAACCACCACCGCCGGTCCCTTTTCCATCCACGCACCCAGTACATCCACTACAACCACCGCCGAAGTCTTCTTTTCCGCCGCCGTTGGATCCCTCGTTAGATTTGTTTCTGTTTTTCCAGATGTTTCGGTCTTGGTCTTTGGCTTACTGAGCACAAGGCCTCCTCCTACTGGGATGTGTTCCGGGAAAGGAATGAACTCCATCTCCATCTCTTTTTCTTCTTCTTCTTGAGGTTGGTTTTTTGGCATGGTAGAGAAGGGATTTGATGTTGTGGGACGAGCTCTTGAAACCGTGGTCTTTGCTACACCATTCAACGATGTTGGAACTCTTCTCATTTTTTTTTTCTTTTTTTTTCTCTGTTCCTCTTTGTTGATTCCATATGCACAGTACTTGAACCTTATATTGAACTCTAATTTTTGCATCACCACTCTGTTCCTCTGCGGGATTGTTCTACTTTTTGAAGATATAAACTAAAAATAGCAAATCTCTCTTTACTTCATAAGTTGATGACAGTGTCTTTTTTTTTTAACACTTCGAAACTTGCTTCGTTGTTAATGTGAAAGATACTATACAAGTAAAGAGAGACTTGCGTCACATATCTTGATTATAATAACTTACGTCACATATTTATACACCCAGTTTCCAAACCAAATTTAGAATAATTATACTCTACCATTCAAACTAGAAATATAATGTTGTGATATTTCTTAAAATAAGGGAGTGAAATATAATGTTAGTATACTCTATCATGTTTCGGAGCTTGCACTATTTCACTGTTATTGATTTGAAAGATATAATACAGGAAATTGCCATAAAAGAATCTGAATTTTTATAATATTAAACTATATTAAAATCTTATTGGTATAAGTACAATGGTTAAACTATATTTTTCTTTAAGAAAAAAATTACCGATTTCTATACTCTGATCAACGTCAGTCATAAATGTGTTCTGAAGAGGAGAGGGGAATTTAAGGTATATATAATTGTACACTACACCCACCCTCCAAGCCCAAGTGTTTACTGTTTAGTCTAGGCACACTACCAATAAATTTTCATACTCAACTATATTATAATATTTATGAGACAGACAATTTAATATTTATGAGATTTTCGAACCTGGCATTTTTCACTTTTGTTGGTTTGTGAAAGAGATAATGCATGTTAATGACAAAAACAAAAAATGAAAACACATTTTGAAATTATCAATTCATCTTAATTGTAATTTTATAATTTTGCATTTTTAACAGCTGTAAAAGGATCCCAATCAAAGACTGCTAGTCTAGAGTATTGGCTACGGCTACCATCATCATGATCTTAAAAGAAAAAAAAAAGAGTAAGACTAAGAAATTAGAAGAAGTCACATCATCATCAATGACACTTGTAATTATGACTGACACTTGTTGTGATGTAAATACAAATAAAAGAGGATATCTCTTTTTTTAATACTTAATACTTGACTTATACTTGCAAGTGTTCAATTTTGTGTATTTGTTATATACTTTGATTGTTACAAGCACTTGATCTCAAGAAAAAGTACGGGACGAGTAACGGGTACGGGACGAATAAAATGGGTACGGGCCGAGTAACAGGTATTTGTGTCTAGTCCTTGCAGCCACTAATTAAGTTTGTGTTAGTATTTTTTCACTTAGGCCACTAATTAGTATATATTATTCATTTTGAAAAATTAGTATCCTGGTTTTGTATGGAAATACAGCCAAAAAATATTTGATACTTGATATCTATGGAACACAACCTGGCAACAGTAGTTCAGAGTAAAGACAAGGCAAACATTTTACTTATTGAATTACATACATTTTACTTATATGAATTATATATATCTACGACTACAAAATCAGTTGTCTCGTAAATGAGTCAACCAAAGCAATAATAGAAGTCTCATGCTTCATTAAAAACACACCCATTAACTCTAAGTCTAACTGTACACTTTCTTTTGATACAAAATACATATGGGAATTCATCTCCTTCTCAGTACTTCAAATATTCAAGGGTTGTTACCATAAACTCTAAGCACGGTAATTAAAAAGTCTCACAACACAACCAAATTAATAATCAACCACTCTATTCTTCGTCATCATCAACGAGCTCTACAATCTGTGCTCGTCTCTCAGCGGCTTTCCTCCTGATGAAGAAACCCCATCTCATTGCTGCCTTTATCTTAAGCCACCCAACAACAGCTCTGCCTGATCGACCACGGTCTTCATCATAGCCTTGCATAGGTGTGTGTAGAAACGATGGGAAAGTATACCCATCTTCTGGCAAATGTGTTGCAGAGCCATTGCCACCTCCCATGCTGAATAGGCGGAGAAACTGTTGCATGTCTTCGTTCTCAAGCATTTCATGGCTTCTGAGTCGGATCTCTTCCTCTGAGAAGAATTCTTCTGCTCCTCTCTCGCGGTGGTTTGACCAGTCTTCGAACGGATTGAGATTTGCCTGGTGAACAGAAGAAGAGTTGATGTCTTGAAATCCACTTGTGGATGACTGTGGAGGACCGAGAGCAAGCAGACCAGTAACGTTTTGATTGTTTATAATGCTTTGAGTTTGATGTAGATTTCCCATAAGCTGGTCTTGCGTTGTAGTACCCGGAGCAACCTCAAATTGTGCTCTTGCGTTGGAGTTCAAAAGCTGTGGCTGCGGAGTATACCTTGTCACCATAGCTTGATCATACCCTGCAGTATTTGACAGAATTGAACAAACTTGTAAGAATTAGTAACTTACTATAATACAAATTTTCAAGAGAGTGATTGCAGTTCGCAAACCTCCAATAGGATAATCTGAAAGCACTGGACATTGATTAGCCGGCACTGAGGAGGAGTGCCCTGCCATCTGCATTGGATGGTCAATGGCAACAGTTGAGTAATTTGCCGGCTCGGTTTGAGTAATAGCCAACCTCTTTGGCTGCTTCAAGTCAAGGAGAGACTTTCCATCATACTCTATGACAAGGTTCCAGTTTTCATATGCTTTCTTCACCAGCCCATCAACAAATACCTTCAGAACACAGAAGTGAAAGACAGAATCAAATTTGATAAATCTCTTTTTCAGTGGTTTGAAAAGAATGTAGTTCAATTACAGCTAAATTAACTTTTAACCTATATAAAAGATAGTGAATCATAGGTTAACTAAACCATAAGCCGCAGAACGAAACAAAAAATGGTGTTAAGGAACATGCAGCAAACCTTTTGGCTTTCAGTAAGTGAATCAGCAGAGAAGTATTGGTCCCCGGAAATGAGACCACTTAGCTCATAGATATTATTGAACACAACGCCGACATTCCTTGAATCCTCGGCATAGTAGATATAAAGCTTACCGCTCAAGACACACGTCTTTGCGTGCTCTACTAGTGCATCCCACATTTTGTTTGACATTCCACTTCCAAGAATCTAGATTAACACGAATAAAAAATAAAATTAGCCATGGCGTAAAATTGTATGAGCAGTGTATTTCACAAGCAAAAACTTGACATAAATAAACACTTACACTACGTAATTTTCCAGAATCCTTGACCATTAGTCTCAGGAAGCCTTCTACAGTGACTATTCCTTCAGCATTAAGCTTTCTATGGAATGCCCCATCTTTACCAATCTTCTCCAACCTCCACACGTCATCATTCAAAGCAGGTGGGTAATGCTTCTTGTACACTGCACATAAAAAAAATGTGCATCAAACTTAAAAGAAGTAACATCACATGGTACACTGGGAACAAAACAAAAAGTGGAACTTTAAAGACCATACATTCGCCCCTGTGATCTTTAACAATAAAAGCTTCCGTCTTTGCCTCACGTATCCGCATGCCCTCACAGTACCCAGAAGAAACCCGTAAACCGAGTCTGAACTTCCTACTCCGAATCCAGCTCGAGTTATCAGTGAAAACCAGCTCGCCCAAAGTTCCAACCCCTTCCTTGAGAGTGACAAACAGATCTCCAGTCAGCAACGGTCTCTTTCCTTGACGTTCTTTCACGACATGGCTTTCAAATTCTTCCTGGCTCCAGTCTTCATCATCTTCATTGTTAAAGTCACCCTCAAGCACAACGATCTCAAGCTTTGCAGAAGCCTCTGGACCATATACCACAGCACGCCCTGTGTTTGCATCGATCAAGACAACATGAATCGCAGCACCCTGCTCTCCTTCTACTCTGCCTCCTGTGAATAAGGGGAGTGATAACCTAGACCTAAACTGCAACCGCAAGTTCCGGCCATCCGGACCTTCAATTCGCTTTGGAGAAGACCCGGAACTGCAAAGTAATAATAAACCTTAGAAAAACTGTTACCTGACATTGAAGACCATGTCACAATATATAGAATGAGCAATACAGTTTTACCTTCCAGTAAGCCTAGCGGGGCCTAGTTTCGCCAAAGCACGTTCCACTTCCTCGCTGACCTGCTCAGCAACAATCCCGCATTGAAGCTTAAACAAAAGATAGCTACTTTCTTTGCAAAGGCCTAACACTCTAAGTATAATAGTGACAAGAACAAGAAGCAGGCAAAGATTGGGTTACAACAAAAGCAGTGTAAATGATCCCAAGAAAAATCAAGAGATCTTACAACTCGGCGGAGAATAGGTTCCAAAGACGAGCAAAGCTTCTGCAGACTGTCTACTTTCAGGGCCTCTACAATCACACTGGCACAAACGGGTAAAATCCGCAAAGTCAGAAACTTTTAGTAGAATCATCAGTCAGATAAACAAAGTCAAAAACTTTGAGTAGAATCATCAGTCGATAAATTACAGGGAAGGAGAAGAAACTCACCTAGCAAGAGCAGGACGTTTTCGCTCAGGCTGATCATCATCGTTCCCATCCAAATTCCTCTTCGCTCTATTCATATTATTACCTCTATCCATTCTAGTTCTGCATTTCTCCCAACTCTAGATGATTGAAAAAATAAACCCCTATTTTCTTAGATCTGCAAATCACAATTAATAGACACAAAATTGAAATCTTGAATAGCACAAAATACCCTCCAGGGGGAAGACCCACTTCGTTTGAACCCCTAATTCAAGTAACTAAATCTCAAACTCAAATTTTCCGGCGTCGGAGATCGGAGAAGACTAGATTCTCCCGGTGACCAAATTGAAGAACCCGAAAAAAAACAAACGATAGATAAACAAGTAATAAGAAACTAACCTGTATATCGTGACGGCGAGATTCAAGAGTATCTCGCCGATTAAAATTCGCCGGCGTCGAATCGGAGAAAAAATTGATTAGTAGTGGACGGAAGTGTTTTATGTTTGAGAGTTTTACGACAGTCTCCTCCTTTTAGTCTTCTCGACAAATTCTGATTTTTTTTTTTTTTTTGGCTGATTGGGGTTAATCGGTCAACTAAGGCGACTCATATGAGCTTTGACAGTGCCTCTAGTTGGGATTTAATCGAATGCCGTAAGGTCTACGGTTTCTATCGTGGTGCTATATGATTGTTTGTCGTTTACAGTTAATTATTTTGTAAACTACAAAAACGTCTGCGGGGCCCGCTAGAAGAAACGGTGGTCGTTAGAATATTATCCCACCAATATGTCCCATGAATCGCAGCCGTCGATTCCGTGTAGGACTGAGGTTACACTTTTATAAAGCAACTTTTATTTCATCAATTAAATCATTATAAAACTGATCTAGTGATCTTTCATTAAATTTGCTGTAACTAGTTTCTTTCTTTATTTAATTTCCAGAAACGATAAGATCTCGTGATGAACGAAGAATCTTTAGCATTGGTAAAAAAACTTCCGACTCCAAAAGTCATCAATTTGCAAACAAAAATAAAGTGCTAAATACAAGAAATAGTATGGAGAGAGTTTTAGATTCATGCTTTATTGAATTCTCCGAGTCTTTTGTAGAGCTTAGCTAGCAACCGGCGGCAGATTTCCGGCGACGTGCAAGGGCCACACATGAGGTATACGACGTTTCCGAGAGGGCGCATGAAGATTCCGTCTTCTCGGAGCATTTTTAGAAGAGACTTTGCATACAAGGAAGCATAGCCGGAATTGGAAGCATCTACTTTTAGTTCTAGAGCGAAAAGTGTTCCTAATACAACCACCCTTTGAACCGCAGAGTGAGATGATATTCGTTGCACCAGTTCTTCGTCCCACAGCTGCAAAAAAACGTGTACGATTGAAACCCGTTTAAGGATGTTGCTATTGATTACATATTTTGATCATACTTGTGTCTGGATCCGTGAATTTAAGAATAGGAATGTCCTAATACCTCTCTTAATTTTCCTCCTTGTGAAGTGATGTTATAGTTAGTCTCTGGATCTTTGAACCATTGGATGGCTTTGACGGCTGTTGCGCAACCCATGGCATGAGCTGAGTATGAGTGACCATGAAGCAGGGCTTTAAGCTACAACCAGTAAGGAAAATTAGATGGTTTCAGGCGGAATCAACATGGTTTGATTAAGAGAGAGCCTTCTTGTTTCGTTTTTTTTACCTTGGAATCTGCAGAAAACGAATCGAACACGGCGTCCGTGGCGAGAGTGACAGCCAAAGGAACCATTCCACCAGTCAACAATTTGGCGAAGCAAGCAATGTCCGGTTTGCAACCGAGAAGTTCAGCAGTAGTCTTGGTAAAATCAATGTAACTGGTTAGCAAAACTGTAAATGGAACACGGTAACAGAAATAAAAATCAAGATGACATATGATCTAAGTCGCAGTTTACTACCTCTACTCCAAGACGCCAGAAACCTGTGAACACTTCATCGAAAATGACTGGAATTTTTCTATTCCGGCACTCATTGACCAGAACTCGTTGGAAAAGCGGATCAACCATGTGCATTCCCCCAGCACCATGAATTACTGCATATAAAACATAAGAGTAGTTTGAATCTAGCAATCTACATAGAGAGACCAAGGATGGTAAGCCTATAATATTAGGAAAGTTACATAGGTAAACTATTTTGAAGTCATAGTGATGAATATACTATCATACCTGGTTCTATTATCAGTGCTCCAATATGGGCAGATTGTGTAGTTCCTGAATACTCTTGTAACTGCTCTGATACATAGGCCGAATAGATTGTTGCGAGAATTGATGTGTCTCTGCTCTTGTCAAAAATCTCATCACGAGTGGTGAAATCTGTAAGAATTTGGGAATACTAAATCATAAAACTAAAGGAAATGCAGTGGAACTGTTGGATAACATAAAGAAGAAAGGATGCTATTTACTTCCATAATCTTCTGGTACGATTTGAGAAAAACTTCCAGGGAGGGAAAGATTCCAGGCTCCATTGGAGAGAAAGACAGTAGGAGGATCCAGAAATAGTCCTCTTCCAGTATACCTATAATTCAAAAATAGATGAGAACCTAATAAAAGGGCAAGCTGAGAATTACGTGATAAACAATGCTTGTTCAGGATAATTTGAGTGCGTATGATGTGAATTTAAAAAAGTAGGTTCTGATATCTCGATGTAATCATGATTCATCCCTAAGGCATGAGAGCTCTATATAAGCAGCACTAAGGGCAGGTTGCTATGCAGTTAGACACTAGGTTTTATGCATTTAGATCCCTCCCACGTTGGTGCGGGAGATGCTGATTATCCAAGAATGCTCAATTCGAAGATGACTGTTGGAAGCAAAATTCTACAGAAATGGTCAAAGTAAGAATCATATCAAACAATAAAAATTCCCTACCACGGCTGCTGGAGAAAGCCTGTATAAGGTGAGGGTGCTTGTGCTTCCATGGCTCCTAAAGTATCCCCATGGTAAGACCCCCGAAGAGCTAGGACCTAAAATAGAACACACATTCACATTAGAGCCTGAAAGGTAAATGACAAAACTCCATACATGAAGACAATATTGTATATGGAAAAAGATGAACTGCCAGGAAAGGGGCAACACTTGCATCTTAGTAAGCAGCAAAGTGAACAACAAATTTTCAATAACAGGTAAAGTAAAGTGTCTAAAGTATCGTTGAGCATTGGCAAGATGATTGTACCTTCAACACAATATCCTTTTTCTCTTCTGTAGCCTCACAAAAATCCAATAGGGTCTCATGATCAACACAAAACTTACGAAATGCCATCTTCAGGGCAATTTCGATTGCTGTGGATCCATTATCCGAGAAGTATACTCGGGAAGCCCAGCCTGAATGCATTATCTAATTAGCCCTCGTTCCTATGCTTGAAAACAGAAACAATTTGACAGAACAAGTCAAAGAAACCTTTTCCCACTCCAGCTAATAAGAGTTCTGCACATTTCAAGGCAGGTTCATATACATTCTCAGGGAACATAACATGCCCGAACCTAGCAGCAGTGTAACCCATTTCTCTAGCAAGCTCAGCCTGAAATAGCCTAAACAAAAGTTCAAAATGAACTTCAGAAGAGTCATCACTAAGATTTATGACGTCATAACGCGCTAGGAACTGATATTTATCATAAAACTGGGAAATAATGGGCACAGATGACCTGGAAAGCGGGATCTGGCCCCTGTGTCCACCAGCTTGCACAAGCATCAAATTGCTGGGTAAGAGAATTGTTATCGGAAGCCTAGAAATGATGAAAAGACACAAGTTTCATTAGTCACGGAAAATTCTACATGGAGATATCTGAAAACCATAAAGTTCCTGCCTTCCAGGTAACCATCTTGCTTATGACTAAACTAAATAGATACATTTGATGAGCCCAAAATGTGGAACATATCAAAATGATTAAGAATCTTCTCATACAAACCTTGTATACTGAAAAATTTTCACCACATCGGGAGTCTATAACTGTCACAGTTTCTTCAGGCACAAGTTTATGCTGAGTAAACGGCCACCAGAAAACCTCTCCTGCTTGCTTTGCCATGCAGTTTAATCTTTCTACTCTCTCCAAATAAGCTGATACCATTGTCTCTTTCAAAGCTTTGAACACACAATCAGACTCGAGAAACCATTCAATAAGATCATCTGAAGGGTCCTTGGGGACAGGCGGAAGCACGAGCACCGGTACTCTACCAGCCAGGAGGTGTTTGCACAAGAATAGCAAAATTAAAAGTATGAGCGTATAGTTAAGAACACACAGACATCGAAAGGACACAAACTGATAAAGCCACTGAAACTTACTTGTTCCTTAGATATGACGTTAGTGGAACTTCATTAACAAGGCCATGATCTTCAAAAACAACAGCAGCAACGTCATATCCACGAAGTGTCAAACTCTCGTAAGCTGCAATGGTCCCCGAGATTCCACCGAGCCGACCGTCTCCGACGAGAATTCCGGGCAATCTAAAAGGCCTAATTTCAAGAACAAAAAAAAAAGTAACACTAGTTACAAAATTCGATCTTCTCACATGTAATCACAAAGGAGAAGATGAAGTGTTACCTGTAGAGGTCGCACTGAAGAGTTCCCGACGGCCCAGGACTAGCAACTCCACCGGCAGTCTCCACTAAACATAGAATATTTGTTTCCTCCGGTTTACTCCCACCAAACTCCATCTCTTCCCTCAAACATTGCTCCACCATCATTTGCACGACGGAGTCATCTACCGGTGCGTTTTCCCTCTCCGCCGCTAAATGCGGTGAGATAGCAGCCTCCCAAGCATACAGCGTCTTACACAAGAGTTCCGGCGCGCCGGTGACCGTCTTCTCCTCGGAGAAGTTCAAATCGCACATCCCAGTCTCGCTGGCTTCAACAATTCGTCCCGTAGATGCTGCAGCTGGGATTGAAGAACGGAGTACATGGTTGGAGATGGAAAGAGGAATCCGGCGACGGAGGGAGAGGGAATTGAGCTTGGAGAAGACGAAACGAGAATCGGAATCAGAAGGGAAGCCAGTCTGTATAGGTTTCAAATAGAGGAGTTTTGTGAAATGCGCGGCGGAAGAAGAAGGCTGGAGGAGGAAGGAGGCGGCGATGCCGGTAGAGACGAGGGTTTTGCCGAGAGAAGTGTTGGCTGACCAAACCAAGTAGGTAGGGTGGTTGAGCGGCAAACGGAAAGAGTGAGGAGGAGAAACAGCGGTGGAGTTAAACCTAATGTGGTGGCGCAAGTGCCGGAGACGGTGGCGGAGGAGAGCGGCGGTTACGGGAAACATTATCGGTGGGAAACTGAAGTGAACGGAGGAAGGAAGGAGACTCTTTTAGAGTGGGAAGTGAGTGAGCTTAGAAATTGTCGTTGGAGGGCAAATTTGGTATATTCGGTTATTTACTCATTTTTTTGTCTCCGGGATTACCTATTGGGGCCGAACTTAGATTAATGGGCTGGGCCCAAAGTTTAGTTTACATCTGTGTTTTAACTTTTATCAAATTATTATCCGCATTTTTACAAGTTAAAATTATCCACATTTTTAAAATTTGAGGTATATAGAAATATGATTACATTTTTTAATTAACAAATGGATATGTTTAAAACGTTCAAGTCTCACGTTCCGGTTCTTTTCAATTTATATAACATCGCTCAATATTGTTGTTTTTAACCATAGGCAAGTATATGACGTTTCACTAGTGACTAATAATGTGTATCACGAGCATGTTATTCGAATGATATAAAGAGTATAAAATGAAATATTTGGTGTATATCTGTTTTTAACTGTATATGCGTTGGTTTATAAAACTATTGTATGTAACATGTTCTTTATAGATCAGCGATTAAGAATTATGATCAATGTGATTTTATGTATTACATTACATTGATCTGCTATAAAATTATATGTGAGAACATTTTGACATACTATGAAAATGTTAGGAGATCGAAATTTTAGGCTTGTCCGAAATTCTTTTTGAAATGTTAGGCTAGATGGTATTTCAGAGACAATTGAAACATATGAGAGTTTAAAATGGACCTCTAATTTACTAGTGGTTGTGCATTGTGTATTACTTTTTCTCATTGTTTTACTATAGTTTATGAATATTATTTGTATAAGATTTTTAATAAATTTTGATTGAAAGAATTCGGTCAATTGATTGGAGGTACCTTGAAAAATGTGCCCAACCGTCACTATATGATTGGTTCGCACGTGAAGCTGATGTAAAATACAATTTGTTGCGTGAAAACTGAATTCAAAGCTAAGCGTGTAAGCTCCGTGGGTTGAAAATATACTAGCGGTTAAACTTTAATTTAGTTGTCCATTTTTTTTCCGATCGCTAAAAAACGACACAAATGTTACAAATGTATTAATTATCGAAAACAAATTCATAACACAGGAAAAATTATGTACGAGGATTAAAAAAGATTTCATGGTACTACGTTAATTTGATGATCGATAACATAAAATTATAAGTAATTGGTAATTACATATTTAGAATAAAATGCGGGTGAAGAACACGCGCAGTGACGGTGGGCACAAGGAATCTGAGGACGAGGAAGAAGCATATGCCCCAGTTGATATATGCCATGCCATACCTTGGGAGAAAACTAAATACTATTCAATTTTATTATTGAAAATTAAATACAAAAAGGCAGAAATAGCCACGTGGATCGCTACCTGGCGGTACAGAAAGCATCGCATCTTCTAGTTCTTGAAAAAAAAAATCCCAGAAAACAAACACTCAAAACTAAAAGATTTGTTTTTTATTTTTCAATTTTATTTTTGATTTCCTTCATCAAATCAAACCAAAGAAAACCTCTGTCGTCGCCGCTCTTTCTCAATTATTCTTCTTCTTCTTCTTCCTCCATTAATCGAAATCATACGAATTTCCCACTCTTAAATCCCTTCTGGGTTTTCTCTATAATCCAACAAATTCTCGATTCACTCAAACCCGATTGATATCAGAGTGCGGAATCTGAGCGTGATTTATCATTCAATCCCCGTGTTTGCAAATCATGCATTTTTGAATCGAGGGTTTCTGGAAATTCGTGTTTTTTTTTTCTCCGAGATTCCAGGTAATTGATTCGTTTCCTTTTAGCCGATGATGATGATATTCAAGTTTTGATCTTGTTTTATTCATCGAGTTCTTTGGGTTGATTTCGTGTATTGCATGTCTGGGTTTTGTTTTTCCCCAGAGAAGTGCTGATGCTTTGTGAGGATTCGTCCGCAACCTTGTAAATGGATAATCGTTTCAACTGTTATTTCCAGCGAACGACTGCCAAGATTTATTATCTTGAGATTTGGTACCAGAAATCTGACGTATCGGCGGATTTGGACTCCCATGTGCAATAAGCGAGCTGGTGATCAGGATATTGATAATCAGATTGGGAGCATTTCCGCCATGGATTCCGGTTCTGTGAACTCATCTTCCGCCACTAGTCCAGTCTCTAGCTTGAACGACGAGCCGCATCGGGTTAAATTCCTTTGTAGCTTCTTAGGCAGTATATTGCCTCGTCCTCAGGACGGGAAATTAAGGTATGTAGGTGGAGAGACGAGGATTGTGAGCGTGACGAGAGAGATTAGGTATGAAGAGCTGATGAGCAAGATGAGAGAGCTTTATGACGGTGCGGCAGTGTTGAAATACCAGCAGCCTGATGAGGATCTCGATGCTTTGGTCTCGGTTGTGAATGACGATGATGTGACGAATATGATGGAGGAATACGATAAGTTAGGTTCAGGGGATGGGTTTACTAGGCTTAGGATCTTTCTGTTTTCGTCTCCTGAGCAGGACGGTTCTTCTCATTATGTGGATCGCGATGATCAGAGGGAATCTGAGAGGAGATACGTTGATGCTCTTAATAATTTGATCGAAGGTACAGACTTTAGGAAGCTGCAGCAGCATCCTGATTCGCCTCGTTTCAATATGATGGATGATTTTTCGATGGTGGAACCGATGATGAATCAGCTTAACATTGAGACTGGCGGTGGTAGCCAGAGGAGCAACGAGATACCTGTTGCGCAGTATAGTAATCTTCACCAGCTCAGGATTCCTCGTGTGGGTTCAGGGCAGATGATTGCACAGAGGTATGGTGAAGTAGAAGGTACATGGAGTCCTTACTATTCTCCTCGGCATCATGGTCACCACGATCCCAGAGCTTTTCAGGAGTTTCCGTCTTCGCCTTCGTCTGCTCGTTATCGAATGCCATATGGGGAAATTCCTGATAAGGGGTTTGATAGAATGCCTGAGGATTATGTGAGGTCATCTCAAGCAAGTCATCATCCTTTATATGAGCACCAGGCACAGGTTCCTGACAATGTGGTTTGGGTCCCAGCTGGAGCAATGCCACTTGAGAGTAAAGGCGGTTTTCCTGGGAACGTACTTCATGGTGGTCCAGGTGGCTATGAAGGGGGTAATATTTGCGAGAACTGTCGTGTACCATTTCATAGGAACCATCAGCCCTTTGAGCAGCTTAATGTAGGCAATAATGGATTTCCACCGGTTGCTTCTGCTCATTGTGCGCAGTGTCCACCCAACAGGGAAACTTTCCTGCTTAATGCAGACCCAAAGCCTCCTACTCCTCACGGAGCTTATGCAAATGAGACTTTCGGACATGAAAGAGGATGGATGGTTCAACAGCAGGTGAATCCTAATCCTCCACGTATTGACGAAGAGAGGCCACATATATCAAATGTTGGAAGACCAAGCGATCATTACACTCTTGATGGTACTGGGATGAATTATCCTCTTGGCCATCGAGCTGGACCTGAAATTACCAAAGAAGGGTTTATTGATAAACCTCTTGGTGGCATTGCCTTGAACTCGTTCAACCCTTCTGCTGAGGAACGTGGGTTTCATTATGGGAATAATCTCTATGCTCCAGCACCTGAAAATATTCACTCAGCAAGTCACAGCCACATCCACCCGCAACAAAACATTTGGCAGAACGTTTCAAACCCTATAGTTGGTGCTCCAGGCTTGCCTATGCAGCAAGTCAATGGCACAGCGAATCAAAATGTTATCAGGAATCCGATAGACAGTGCTTCTCGATATTCTATCGGAGTGGAGAATCAAAGTATTTTGGTCGGTTCTCCGCAGAACATTTCAGGCTTTGATGGAATGTCTTCACCTGGCCAGCCTTACTACCCTAACCCCCATTTGCAAGATAGAGCCTTCCCCTTTGACCCAAATTGGGTGCCATCTGAGAACCCGGCTGTGCATAACGAATACCTACATGGTCTTAAGCCTTTGTCAGGGCCCTTGCTACAGACAAATAATGCTGCACCAATTACGCAGACACCAGATCGTGTTGAAGTGGTGAGGCTGGTGGAAAGCAAGGTTTCCCAGGGAGGTGAACAGTTTAACTATGTTGATCCTGGTGTTTCAGACGGTGTTCCTTGCCTAGATAGGCCTCAACCCTTAGCTGAAAGAAAGAATGATATGGAGAACCTGGTCGAAGTTAGTCCTTCTGCTGCTCCTCCTGAAGGGGCGGAGCTATCAGTTGAGCGTTTGAGTTTCTTACCTGAGTTAATGGAAACTGTGAAGAGAGCGGCGCTTGAAGGAGCTGCTGAGGTCAAAGCTCATCCAGAAGAAGCCCACAATCCTGTGAGGCCGGAGTTGGTGGAAAACGAATCAGAGCATGTGGTTAGTATTATGAGATTTTATCCTGTTATGAGGACCTTAGGGTGTGTTCCCTTCTTCTGATTTTGATTCTGCAACAACTTTTGGATTTTCAGAATGCTCAAGTCGAACCAGAGATGGATTCTGATAGCGATAACCCAAACAATTTCAAGATTGAGCCAACAAAGGCGGAGGCTGAAGCTCTATCCAGGGGACTACAGGTTTTGTATAAATTCGCTTTATTCTTAATTTGGTCTTATATAATTTTGAGACCAAACAAAATTTCTGGTAAAGATCTTTTAGTTGCCCATTTTTAGTCCTGTTGACTTTGTTATCTTGGTTTTCACCTTCTTCGTTTAGACTATAAGAAACGATGATCTGGAGGAGATTCGAGAGTTAGGTTGTGGAACATATGGATCTGTTTACCATGGAAAATGGAAAGGCTCAGATGTTGCAATAAAGAGGATAAAAGCCAGTTGCTTTGCAGGCAAACCTTCTGAAAGGGAACGTTTGGTAAAATCGAACCCTTTATTATCAATTGACTTTAGCATTTTCATCAACGTTAACTCTATTATTATTCTCCTTACTCCTTTTCTGCTGTTACAGATAGAAGATTTTTGGAAAGAAGCCCTGTTATTGAGCTCATTGCATCACCCAAACGTTGTGTCTTTCTATGGGATAGTTCGTGATGGTCCTGATGGTTCTCTAGCAACTGTTGCCGAGTTCATGGTTAACGGATCTTTGAAACAGTTCTTGCAGAAGAAAGACAGGTAAAAACACATATTCATGCATTTTATTCTAGTTTTATAGAGGATCCAAATATCTGACATCACATTGGTTGAATCGTCTAGAACTATTGATCGTCGCAAGAGACTCATCATAGCCATGGATACTGCATTTGGTATGGAGTATTTGCACGGAAAGAACATAGTTCATTTCGATTTGAAATGCGAGAATCTTCTTGTGAACATGAGAGATCCTCAGCGTCCTGTATGCAAGGTTTGGTTTTGCTCATCTTCTCCCATATAATGATGAACAAACTTGATATATTTCTAATAAATCTGTCGCTTTACAGATTGGTGATTTGGGGTTATCGAAGGTGAAACAGAAGACTTTAGTCTCGGGAGGTGTTCGCGGTACTTTGCCATGGATGGCACCTGAGCTGTTGAGTGGTAAAAGCAACATGGTCTCTGAAAAGGTAAATAATTTTCTTAAAAGTCTGCAGCTTTTCTTCAGACTTTCGATACTTTCGATTCAGATACAGTCGCACAGTCACTAACCAAGTATGTTTCTCTCAATTAGATCGATGTTTACTCGTTTGGGATTGTAATGTGGGAATTGCTCACTGGTGAAGAACCTTACGCAGATATGCACTGTGCTTCCATAATTGGTAACTCACTACGTCTTTCTTATATACGTGTGAATGGTAGATTTATGAAATTAAGACAAATAGATTGGTGTTTTTTTTATTACAGGAGGCATAGTGAATAATACATTGCGTCCGAAAATCCCACAGTGGTGTGATCCAGAGTGGAAAGGATTGATGGAAAGTTGCTGGGCCTCTGAGCCAACAGAGAGACCATCCTTTGCGGAAATATCACAGAAGCTCAGGAATATGGCTGCTGCAATGAATTTGAAATAAAGGAATTAAAGAAAAAGAAGAAGAATAAAGATGATGATGAAGAAAAAGAAGAAGAAGACGAAGATGGTGATGGTTCAGGGTTCTTGACGACAAGAGGCTTCTAATTACTTGGGTTTTTATAAAGAAGTATAGTTAGCCTATATTAAGTTACCACTTGGTTTTGCGGTTGGAACGCCAAAACTAGTGTTTTATGGGAGAAAGAAAAATGGTCTTTGATGGGTATATAGTTTATGTTGAATTTAGAGGATTTTGGTTTGGAACTTTTGATCAAGCAATGTGTTGGTTGCATTTGATGATCATTGCTGTCTCTGTTTTTTTTTTTTTTTAATTGGGTTATTATTTGTATATAAAATTTGTGGTTGAAGAGCGGGGCACACATTAGATTATTCTTTGTTTAGAAGATTTATAATATTTTGTTCTTAAAAATCGAAGAAGGGGTGAAATGAATTATAGTCATGCAGAAGACGTAGCTATCGAACTCTCTTGCTGCGTGAGGATTTTGGACCGGTGATTTCGTGTCCAATAAGATCAGTCGTATATTTTGTTAATTTGGAATATAACCAGTTATATAACCGGAAGATTTCGAGCTGAAATTCACGTTAATTTTAAGAGTCGGAATATTTTCGTAATGATAACCATATGCAGTGGAAAAATACCATATTTTTTGTTAAAACATATTAGAGTTTATGAAAACTTAAGTTTATGTTCTGCAATAATGCATACTCTATAACTATAAAACTTATATTTATATAACCACCTGGGTCTTGAATGTTTCCAATCCAACCTATTAGCGTTAAGTTGTGTTAAATCTTTCGTGACCAATAAACAAAACTTGTGGTCTGAGAAGTTCCCTAAACCGTCGTCGTCTAGTACAGAAAATCCCGAGATTCGAACAAACCCAACCCACAAATTAGACCAAGATATTATTAGTGTTAGAGATGAGGTTAGGTAATGGATCAAAGGGTCCAAAGACACACTTAAGGGATGGAAACAAAATTTGACAGGACTACAATCCTCTCTCTATATCTCTCTCTAAAAATACTAAAATAGTTAGTACTTATTAGGTTTGACTTTTAATAATGTTTTGTTTGATTCTGAATGAATAAATATCGTAAATTAATTCTGATAAACAAGTATATATTCTCTATATGAAGAGAAAAGTCAGCCCTTTGCAAGTACCAAAGATCTTCTTAAATCCTTATCATTTAAAAACTCAGCAAGTGAAGTAGGAGAAGAATTAAAGCATGACATTATCAACTCCGATGTCGTATCTTCCTTGTTCACAGAACATCCTTCTAACCGATTACCAATTTTAATATTGGAAAATTATACAAAATGTTGTGTTAATCATTACATCCATGGGCTTAATAATTAAATATTGTGTTATCCATTGATCTTCAAAATAAATATTAGATTGATTAGATGTTACGATTGGCGTCGAGTAAAGTAAACATACTTGGCTCAAAAATTTCAAAGGTGGACTTTATTTGTAGTTTTTGTTAAAAGTATACGTACCAGTAGGTGATGCATGTTTACCATCTTATACTGAAGCAAATTATGTACAGTGTGTATAAGACATACATACATATATAAGCTTCATGAGTACATTATAATTAATAGTTAAATTTTACAAATTTAGTCGTATTTGTGGTGATCTAAGTTTTCGTGTAAGGTCAAGATTCGTGACACCATCAAAGAAATCAATGTCTTGTCCTCTACAAACATTAAACATACATACGGTATGTTTTTTGTTTAACTATGCCCTCTTAAGTCTTAATGCAACACCTAACACGCGCTAGTGACTTTTCCTTCATATGGTCAAACTCACACGTACACACCCACACGTGTCGTATTTATATTTTATCTTTCCGTAAATGAAATTATATGAACACATCATAAGAGCATATAATTCAATATTATAAATGAACTATAATTTCCAAAAGCTGTTTACATGTAAAAGATAACCATCATTTATCGACTCGTACTCTCGTTATAAAGGAAATTGCGTACGCTAATGTGTTAGTCAACCCAAGTGACGTGATGATGACACTTTTCCTTAGATTAGTTTTTTGTTAGTAAAAAGAACAGATTCTTTATAATATAAAATGGCAAACAATCTTATCTTCAATTTGTTGGAAAAGTAATAACAGGATTTTACGAAGGAAAATAATAGCCAAATCCGAATCATAAAAAATGGAATCATATAAGTGAAAACGTTATCAATATTTTCATTTCTAATCATATCTAATAGTGTTCATTAACTTTTATTTTTTTTTAGTTTATACAATTATTCATTGTAATGGCGAGTATTTACTCACAATTATGATCGTAATATATTAGCTACTGATATTTTATATATTTGAGTGATATGTTCTCCCTATTGAATTTTTTCTTTAAATGTTTGTTATGATACAAACTCTTTTAACATGTTAAAATTAAGTTATTAACCATAATATTAAAGTAGTTATATAATACATTCAAATTCGAGATTTTAGTTGGATCCAGTATTTGAACGTTTTCTTCCTCACAATAAATATCTGCTCACATGATTATATATTCTTTTTAGAACGATAAACATAAAAAAAATCATAGTAATTGTAATATGAATTCGATAGCTAAGAATCTAGATTCTTGTCTAATTAAATTATGAAAATAACTCGTATCAATGTTAATTCCAGTATTAGGCTATTAGCAATTATTTTGAGTCTTGATCAATGCTTTCTAAGCAAACCTTGGGGATATGATATCCAAAAATTAGCTAGGAAATTAATAGTATCAAAGAACATTGATTCATTAATTAGTTTAATTTAAAGAAGCTAGGCCGCATATATCTAAGCTTATCCTCCGTGAAATAAAACCATATCAGAAATAATTAAAGTCTACTTTTATACTGTATACACACACACATATATATATATATATGCATATATTTAATCACTAACCAGCTCGATTATAATGTCTTAAAGCTTGGGATTTATCAAAGAGTACTCTTTATCAAATGCATCGATTCTAGGGTTCTGAAAAAAGACAACAAGAAACATTTGCGTTGCTTTTATTTAAAGCTCTGAATTTCCTGGTGTTTCAATCTTTTATTATATTATTATACAGAATATCCTTTATTATATTGTAGGGATATTAAATTATACAGAATATTAGTTGCTCCTTTTTGAAAATTTGATGGTTTCTTCTTGTTATTTTGTTGCCTAGTTGTGGTTCCTTATCTCACTAGATTATTTAACTAATTAATCACATTTCAATTTTAAAAGATACATACTTACTTTGCATTAAAAATATCAGACAACATCTTTTTGAAAAATCAAGGTCTGGTTGTTCCAATCAATTATTGTATTTAAGTTTCTCTCTTTTTTATATTGAAAATACAGTCTTCAGACAATCAATTTACTTTCCACAGTTAGAACTCGTCGGCAACATTTATGATCCTCGAAACTGATATTTAAAAATTGTAACATAAAAGATAAATGCCGAATCGGCGAATCCTGTAAATACTTCTATCATGCAGGTTTAATTATTTCTTATTAAAAATAGAAACTTTTTTTTTCTTCTGAGAAAGGGTTAATAATAATAGAAATTTACTCACTTAAAAACGGATCTCTTGCAAGGTTGGAGAAGCCATTGGTGTTTCTTTTAACTAATCGTTGTTGACCTTATTCATGCAAAGTAATTTGTGATATATATATATATATATATATGACCATGTTAGCGTCATACCTAATATTGTAATTACTCAGTTCAGGGTTGATTAATTTGAAAAAACAATATATCTATACAAATGACAATTTTTTAAATTATGCAAATGACAATTTGTTAATACTATTAGGAAATAACAAAATGGTGCCTATAAAGCTTGGATAAGAAACTTAATGCATGATTTAGTTGATAAAACTTTCAAAACTGTTTCATTTCATATTTTAATGGTTTGAACAATAAAAACTGAGAATGTAAAAACTATAATCATCAACGCCATACTTACATGATGGTGATAAAATCCATTTAAAATCTCTGAGAGTTAAAAAAATATATATATGTTACCAAAACAACAACAAACTTAAAATGTTTAACTGGTTGATTCAATAGCTAGAACGAAATTTCGTATGGCTATGATTTTACGATCATTAATTGTTTAAATGATTTCAGTTCTGTATTTTCTGATATATAACTTTTTCTATAAACACATGCATATATATTCCCATTCAACTCTCTTCGAAATTGAAAATACACCCACTGCGCGTACATGATATCATCCATATATGTGTATTTTTATATATGTAAGAGACTATAAGTCAAAGAACAAGAATTTCTAGAATAAAATTGAAAGAAAAACAAACGGCCTAGACTTGGAAAGAAATGCTGCTTACTTTGAGATGAAGTCAAACTTATTTTGCAAGGAGTCATAACCGTATATACAATTATATATGGTCTTCTCGATATTGACGTTTTTCCTTATGGCACACGCATTTTCATACTCATCATATATCATCGGTTAATGTCTTAAGAAGCTTCGTCTTCTAACTGCAGTTCCTATTGCTGAACACTGATTTTTTGAACAAATTAAGTTGTTTTTTGATGTTTCTCGACAATTTATGATGGGAATATATGTTTCGATTGGTATACAAATACGGAATACGGAAATTGTAAAAGCTGAAACCATCATACATATGAAAAGAATAGTAAAATTATTAAACAAATTCTCGTTACTGTTTCATAAATATCAAAAATATATTTGAAGGCATATTATAAATCTTTAATAAGAGAAAAAAAAAGTCGCTAAACAAGAAATGTCTTATTCAAACGGAAAACCAGTATGGTTGACAAATTACCTTTAACTGTTTCGCGAACGTGGTGCAATGATGGGATTGCATGCTTGGTACAAAAACTAACACATTGTATTATTCTGCCGTTCTATGGATTAATACTCATGATCATTAGTGTCTTATTTTCTGCTAGTTTAAGGTGTATTTAATTATAATAGGATTCTAAATACGTAATCTTTCAGTATCACCGAGGTTTGGTAAGTAGCACTACTGGTAAGAATTTGTTTTTCCTCTCAATTTTTTTCAGTCAAATAATGTGATTAATGTCCATCATATTGTTCACATAAAGTAAAAGTTAATATTTCTTGTTTGAAGTTTTTTTTTCTGAGGCCGTACATTATGCAAGTTCTGAAAACTCACTTAGCTTTCTACCCAAAATTCTCTGTCATATGAAAGTCAAGGATTGCATACCTTTTCTAAAAAGAAATTCACTTATTCAAACTATTATCTATAAACTTAAGCAAATTATCCATTTTCAAGAAGGACATTATAAATTAAAAATAACTAATGAGTGATGACATTTAATTGGCTATAGAGGGGAACATTTCAACCCAAGTCACGACAAATCAAGACGATGGTTTGTTTCCTGCCCTTTAATTTGATCTATTAATAAAAAAAAATATAAAGTGCTATGCAATTGGACAAAATTTCACGCAAGTCTTTCTTTGCGTTAATGATTATTAAATTTGAGACAACTTTCCACCTTTTCAAAATAAATAAAGATAGGTTAGAAAACTAATCCAAAAGCAGAGAAAGCAAAAACCCTAGTAAGAAAAAAAAATAATTAGGGTTGAAGTTGAATCATAAAAAACAAAATTAAAACGCGGAGAAGACTTCATATATTTTTTTAATATTTACTTTTTCACTTATAATAATCATCAACTCATATCCTCCCTTTCTCGTCTTTATAAACCATCTCTTCTAAGCATTAGATCACTTCATCATCATCAAACATAATAACACTTCGAAGAGGAAGAACAACAACTAGAAGAAAAGGCAAAAAAAGATTGGTAAGAAAATGGGAAGAGCTCCATGCTGCGACAAGGCAAACGTGAAGAAAGGGCCATGGTCGCCGGAGGAAGATGTGAAGCTCAAGGATTACATCGACAAATATGGCACTGGTGGCAACTGGATCGCACTTCCTCAGAAAATCGGTAATAATATCACTTAATTTAAACTTTAATCCTGCAACTAATTGCTTCTGATGATTTAATTTTACTATAATATATATCAGCCAAAACCTATGATTTTCAGCTTCTTCCTATATTTTCATATCATTTATTAAAATATGCATTTAATTTATCCACTGTCTTCATTTTTTATGTTAGTTGATCAGCTCTAGTTATGTTCTGATTTTGAGGTTTTGTGTAAATCATAGGGTTGAAGAGATGTGGTAAGAGTTGCCGACTGAGATGGCTTAATTACTTGAGACCAAACATCAAACACGGTGGCTTCTCTGAGGAAGAAGATAGTATCATCTTGAGTCTTTACATCAGCATTGGAAGCCGGTCAGTGATTTATCGATGTCTCTTGATTTCTAGTTATTAGTTAATTAAATTAATTTATAATACATTCTTGGTTCAGAATTGGAGGTGAATTCTGTTAAATTCAACTTTGATATTCTTGTCTTTTTACTTTTTGTCTATGAATCTTATGCTGAAACACATGCAACCCATGTTTCAAGCTATGGTACATCTCATAAAATTTAGGGTTTATATTGTCTCTTTCTCTTTGTTTTGGTGTTTTTGTAAGCACCTTTGTACATTTACATCTATGAAACATGAACTTAATAAGTGCTCCATAAATAAAAATAGTAAATAAAATTTATAACTGTAACTTTAATGTGATATAAATGCAGGTGGTCTATAATTGCAGCTCAGCTTCCTGGAAGGACAGACAATGATATCAAGAACTACTGGAACACAAAACTGAAGAAGAAACTACTCGGAAGACAGAAACAAATGAATCGTCAAGACTCCATTACCAATTCAAATGAAAACAATATCAGCAACAACAACAACAACAAGAGTCCTCAAAATCTGAGTAATTCGGCTCTAGAGAGGCTCCAGCTACACATGCAGCTTCAGAATCTTCAGAGCCCTTTCTCTAGTTTCTACAACAACCCTATCTTGTGGCCCAAGCTTCACCCATTGCTGCAGAGTACTACCCATGATCAAAATCCTAAGCTTGCATCTCAAGAAACCTTCCACCCTTCAGGAGTTAACGTTAATCATCAGAACAATCATATCAAGCTAGCTGAGATCAACAATGGATCCTCCCCTCTCTATTCAGAGAACATAGAGCAATCCCTAAACCCTGCTCACGAATTTCAACCTAATTTCGGTTTTTCGCAGGACCTTCGATTAGATAATCATCATAACATGGATCTTATGAACAGAGGTGATTCTAAAGAATTGTTTCAAGTGGGAAATGAGTTTGAGCTAACGACCGGTTCTAGTTGGTGGTCCGAGGAAGTGGAGCTAGAGAGGAAAACGACTTCGACGAGTTCTTGGGGATCAGCTTCTGTTCTTGATCAGACTACTGAAGGAATGGTTATGCTTCAAGATTACGCTCAGATGAGCTACCACAGTGTGTAATAATTTATGTCATGCATATATATACATGTATGTATAACTATAGGGATGGATTACTGATAAATTATGTATTGTTACGGTCATAAGCTTATATATAGCATGTCGAAGGTGAAAGGGTTTTTTTCATAATTTCTTCAAAATGTAACGAGTTGTGCATAATAATGTAAATCATTAATTCTACTTGCTTTTATTATATTCTGGAACGAGATTTCTATTTTCTACTTTGAAACAATATATGTTCACGGATTCTATAAAATACAGTTACATACACGGGTTCACATTTTACAATAACAGTTGACGAGTTGTTTAATAATTTTAAGATTTGTAATTGTATGTTTTGTTTCCTTGTCTAACTTCGATTTTTTTCGCCAGAGAATCATTGATAGTTCTGTCTGGCACAAAAATAATGGGCCTATCTGTTTTCCATTTCTAAAGGCCCATAAAAAGATGCGACTCGTATTTGAGACTTGAGTAGGCCTGGGCATTTTATCCGGAACCGATTACCCGAACCGGAACCGATCCGAAAAAACTAGTTTGGTTACGGGTTCGGATATACGTAAAATATCCGATGGATATGCATCAAGTGGAATCGTGGATCTCGGTTCGGTTCCGGTTAATATCCAAAACTAATCGGTTACCCGAGAGATCCGAAATGTGTGTTGAGTTATGTTTTTAGGGTTTCGTTGACTGTTTTTTCATTTTGTCGATTTCACTCCTCAACACACACCGATTGCCCGACGATCCTTCTTCTCTTCCTCTTTTCACTTTTACAAAAGAGAAATCCCCCATTATAAATCTGGAAACCCTAAATCGCGACAGTATCCCCTCACCTTCACCGGCACCGCCGTTGTCTGCATATTCTCGGAATCAATCAGAGGTTTGAAGTTTCTATTTTTGTTTTGGGTTTCTATGTTTTGAAATTTGTCATCGTAAATCGTTGTTTTTGATTGTTGTTGCAGATGGCATCTTGCGATGAAGAAGAGCCCGATGTGAATCAGACCCCGATGGATGAAGACGATGACTTTGAAACAGAAGATGAAGACGATGTCACACCGACTCCTGCAAAAAAATCGAAGAAGAAAGACAAGTCAGGAGTGAGAGTCAGTGGTTCTGGATCGAGGAAGAGAACAAGGTCTAAAGTCTGGAAGCACTTCACCAGGAACGAAGATGACTACGAAAAATGCAAATGTCATTACTGCTGCAGAGAATTCAGCTGTAGTACAAAGTCGGGCACATCAAATCTGCGGAAGCATATATTAGGATGCAAAGCATTCATGGCTTGGAGAGCTGCGAACAAAGAAGGTAATCAATCTGTTCTAGCTGATAATGATGGGAATCTAGGTGTTGCTAGGGTATCGGAAGCGATAGTTAGGGAAGCTACAAATGAGATGATTGTTTTAGCAGAACTACCTTTAGCTTTCATAGAGAGCTTAGCGTGGAAGCACTTCTGTTCAAAGGTGATGCTATACACTCCTCAGTCTCGGAGAAATGCAACCAGAGACATTGTGCAGATGTTTGTTAGTCGTAAGCAAGCAATAAAGAGGATTATAAGTGAGAGCAAGCAGAGGTTATCACTCACTACGGACATATGGGTTGCACCATATACTGGAGCAAGTTATATGGTGGTAACCGCACATTTCATTGATGCGAATTGGAAGATGAAGAAGATGATCATCGGATTCAAGAGTGTCTTGGATCATAAAGGGTCGACTATCTGTAATGTTTTGCTGGAATGTTTGCAAGAGTGGGGAATAAAAAGAGTATTCTGCATCACGGTTGATAATGCAACGGCTAACAGCTCAGCTATGCGGAAATTTAAAGAGAAATTTAAGCTAGTTGGTGATGATGCAATGGTGCTTAAAGGAGAGTATCTACATTTGAGGTGTGCCACTCACATTTTGAATTTGATAGTAAGGGAGGGACTGCAGGAGATAGATAGCAGTGTCAGTGCTATAAGGAATGGTGTGCATTATGTGAGGTCTTCAACGAACAGGGTCAAGGCATTTGACCTTCGGCTGGAAACAGGGAAGGTGACTAGAGGCAGTCTTCCTTTAGATGTTAAGACCAGGTGGAACTCCACTTATCTCATGCTTGATCAGGCTATGAAGTTCAGAATGGCATTTGAGAAGATGAAAGATGAAGACAAACCTTATAATGACTACTTCGAGGAAACTGTGGAAGGGGTAAAGAGAGTTGGACCACCAACTTCATCAGATTGGGAAGCAGTCGACAGGTTAGTTCAGTTTCTGATCATATTTTACAACTCCACATTAGTTCTGTCTGCTTCTACTTCTGTGACTGCGCATAAACTGTACAATGAGATTGTCACTATCACCACCAACATTAGTGAAATTAGCACTACTCCAGGGCCTGATTCGGAATTGATGAAGAAAGCAGATCTTATGAATAAAAAGTTAGAAAAGTATTGGAATCCCTTTGGTGAAAAAGTTGAAATGAACAAGCTTATGATAGTGGCATCAATCTTTGATCCAAGGAAGAAGATACGGTTTGCTGAGCTGTGACTTGAGAGACAAGGAAGCAAGTAAACCTTAAAATTAATTAATTTTCTCAACTAGAAAGGAAAAATACTATTGTGCATTTGACCAAACGTACTTTTGTATATAACAACAGCCATTGGAGTATTAGTCAATGTGATCATAAAACATGTAAAATCATTAGATAAAATGTCCCTTCGGGGAACATTCTTATGCCGGCTAGCCATATTTTAGTATTCAATAATGTCGCACTATTATCCGTTAATTTTCAATTAATATATCCATGTAAAATTAATATAATTGATCAATTCTATCCACTATTAAGATATCATGGACGATCACCTTTTGCCTTGTGCCACATGATCGTTAAGAAATCAGTTAAAATAACTACCCATGGGATCGTCGATACATTTCACTGCATACGTAACATTAATCACAACTTTTTATTACATATGAGATGACGAAGAAACTTGACCTTTTTACTGTATAATATCACAGTTCTCATTTGCAAAGAAAACATAACTCTAAATTTAAAATGATAGCAGAATCTTTGTTTAAAAAAACTTCGCACATTAGTTAATGAAGACGTTATTTGTACATGTAGATATATGAAGTCAAAAGTAAATTTAAAAACCCCAAATGACAATTAAGTAATTAACCACAAAATCCATTTTACCAAAGCGAACATAAAAGAGTGGTAACCATAATCGAACATGGAAGCCACAATGTAGTTGACATCCCCCTAAAGGTCCAAATTCATTATATAATTCATGAAATCATAACTTGTATATATAATCACTAACCAAAGCCATTTCTCTTCACCACCCAAAACCCATCTTTCAGAGTCACACCACAAAGATGGCGACCACTTCATCGACGATCCAAGTCCTTGTCTTCTCAATTTCCCTTTTCTTGGTCGCTTTCCAAACAGTCAATGCAGACTATTACCGTCCAAGGCCACCGGTTACTCCTACCCCCTACGTCCCTAAGCCACGGTGGCCAATTCCAAGCCGGAGCCCCAAGCCTGTTTATCGTCCCCCAAGTCTACCCGCTGGCTCGATCGCTAGACAATTCCTTGACCCACATAACGCTCTTCGGTCTGGACTAGGTATTAGCTAAAAAACATTGCTACAATTCATTATATTAGTTGAGAGATCGGATTTGAATCCTTCAACTACGATTTCAAGTATAGGTCTGTAGATACCTTAAATGGCAATAACATTAGTCTAGGTTTCGCCATATGATTTATCCGGCTAAAAAAGAAATAAAGATTGTTACATCTGAATTTTGGTGCAATTTAGGTGTTTAGGTTTCCGTGGTTTTTGTTTGTCTTTACGTTTTATTTTTAAAAACACTTGTGTTTACGTATACTTTTACATGTTGTGTATGACTGATTAACTGAACCAATATTCACCTTTTTTGGGTCTACATGTTAGGAAATCAATATTCATCTTTTGTATTGTATAATGTTATTGTTATTGATTCTGGTGAAATGAATATCATTTCCTATCAGGTTTGTCTCCATTGGTTTGGGACGGCAAGCTAGCCAGCTACGCGACATGGTGGGCTAACCAGAGGCGTTATGACTGTTCATTGACCCATTCTACCGGCCCATATGGTGAGAACCTGTTCTGGGGAAGTGGCTCGAGCTGGGCACCAGAATTCGCGGTGCAGTCATGGGTCGTTGAAGGAAGCTCCTACAACTACAACACCAACTCGTGTGACGGAAATGGAATGTGTGGTCATTACACTCAGATGGTGTGGCGTGACACCAAAAGGCTTGGATGCGCAAGTGTGGTCTGTGAGAACGGTGCCGGAGTCTTCATCACTTGTAACTACGACCCTCCGGGTAACTATGTTGGCGAGAAACCTTATTAAGAAAAAAAAAAATTAATTTAAACCGTTTTTTTTTACTTCATTTCGTTTAATTTCTTTATATATTCTGTTTTTAATATCTTCGTGAAATTAAAATTTTCCGACAGAGCTAATTTGTATGGAGCGTCGTTATATTGTTGTTGCTGCTGTTTTTTGATGTTTCTAATGTTTTTTGATGTTTCTAATGTCTTTACGGTCATGTCTTCAAAGTTTTGTTGAGTGGCCTTGTTATGTAAACATTGTAAAACAATCAGTGAGTGAGTATTACATTCTTATATATATTTTATTGTCTTTGTTATATTAAATAGAGTTAAATGGGTGTATACCCATAGATAATTCAGTAATTGAGAAAATAGGAAGCGATAGTTTAAAATTAAGTATATACAATTTTATATAAGGATTGTAGACCAAAATACCCATATATCTAGAAGACAAAATTTCTGCAGACAATTTTTATTGTATTTTTGACTTCTCGACAAAAAATAAAAATATATAATTGATATCTTCTAAGCAAATTCATAGCCGCTTAGCATTTTAGTCTCGTTCGTCCATTAAACAAAATAATATCTTATGATTATCTGTTAACTATTTCTGTTAACATAAAAAATTTATACACTCATAAAACATTATTTTCTATATTAATGGAGATACTTATGTTGTCTGAATAACCAGAAGTGTTATCTTCTAAACACAGATAAAACGAGCTTCACTGTCCTTACTGGAAGGTGGATATGAGATATATAAGAAATTATTGGGTAATATACCTCTCGAATCTGTGTTTCCATAGGTGTGTATAATATTTGTATTCTTGGGAAATTAATTGATATTTTTATGTTGTTGTTATTTGGTAATTCAGATATCGATACAACTCTTAATGTTAGCTGTCAACCCCATAAACAGATGGTGAGGCTCCAATATTTGTAGCAATCTGAATTGCGTTACCTGATTAAGAATGAAAACAGATGTCTGTTTTGTTTTATAAAATGTATGTAATGAGGTGTGAAAATATTTTGTATTGAAGATAACCTGAATTGTTATTCCGATGTTAGCAGGTAACTTGGATAACAAGCGAACTGCAAATGTTAACTGTGAACTAAAACAACAAATAGGTGAGTATTTAAAAATAAATTATTTATAAAGTGTATGTAATGAGGTCTGAAAATGTTTTGTATTGAAGATAAAATGAACTGTTTTTCCGATGTTAACAGATAACTTGGATAACGAGCTAACTGTAAATGTTAACTGTGAATTAAAACAACAAATGGATGATTATCTAAAATTAATTACAACCTTTGTATATAATGTTATTAGCGAACTCTGTTAACGAAATGTTGAAGGTAACAATGATTGTTTTGTATTTTGGATGAGAGAGACTAACTGAGATAACAGATAACGACAAAGTTTTAAGCAACACTAAATCTAATTTACTCCCCCGATCATAATTCACAAAAAAAGAAAGAAATTTACACTTTAGATATTGTTGTCTGTAAATCTGACACACACAAGTTTTTGTGGGTTCCAAACTTGTAGTTATGCACAAAATTGGTGTAGGAGTTTGTTGGTTTTTTAGTGATAAACAGAGAGATAAGTATACATCATAAAATTTATGTAAATTAATTTTATAAGTTTTCGTTGGCATTCTGTGCAATTACTCTATTAAATACGATAAGTGGCTTATGAGCAAAAATTAAGCAATATAATATGTCGTAAAACAACTAGAAATGGGCCAAAAAAAAATGTTATGAGCAAAAATTAAGCAATATAATATGTTTTTATGCATGTGTAACAAGTAAGATGCATGTAACTTATAAGACAATTATATATTCATATCTTACGTTTTTGACAAAGTAATAAAAAATGTTTTAGTTTGATAAATCTACTTTTTAAAACGAGGTATGGAAAAAATGTAACTAACACATTAGTATATAATATTAAGATCGAGAAAGTACCAATACTTTATTTCGAGTACTGTATTTTCATTTTGATTTAAATCTATTCACTACATCATTATTTAATATAGTTAAGAAACAACTTGACTTCTCCTTCTCATTTTTAACCGCTGTTTCCTCATCCGGCTTCTTGTAATGTGGCTTAATACTGTTGAGATTCATCATATCAAAAACAGCTTCTCCAACTTTTGACACCTCTCACTCTCTCATTTTCGGACGACAGTCGACATATTTTCTCCTTTTCTTAGTTCAAGAGTGTTTTCTTTATGAGTGTCTTTTAGAGCAAAGAGACTCTTTTTATAGAGTAATGAGCAATCACATTCACATACATATTTTCAAGGATTCCCGTGATTTTATTGAGGGAGAAATGTATGTGACGATTATTGAGCAGCATAGCTCAATAAAGCCTCTGTTTCTCTCACTGTGCATAAACTAGTGTGGCACAAGTAAGTAAGCTCAAAATGGAAATATAGAAGAAAAAAAAAGAGTGGGTGAATGAACGGAAACCAATGGCACACCAAATCAAAAGAGTTCTTACAAACACCATTTGAAATTTTTTTTTCTTTTTTTGCACCACAACCTATATAAAGACAACTTCCATGGACAAAAACAAGATGAATTACTAATTTCTATATACTTATTTAAGTCATAATGAACACCCCGGGTTATGTGAAAGAGTTAGCCTGCTTTATTTTATTTTCTTTCTTAAAATCAATTTTTTTTTTTTGTTCAAAATTTGCTTAGAAAAAATCCGTCACTTTACACCCTGTATAAAAACCCTTTGGGATCACAAGACATTAATTATTTTTAGGATCCCTTCTCTTCATTGTCTTCTTTCAGTGCATGGAACTTCAAAAATCTGCAAAATATGCTTTATTTGCTTCCTCTGTTCATCATCTGTCACATCATTTTACTTGAGAATCTTTTGCACCTAGCTTACTTCCGCGGTAAGCAAGCTGGATAAACTCTGGCAAAACTGTCAAGAGACAAAAGGCATCTCATATCATCAGATGAGTCTATAAAGGTCATTTTTGAATGGGTTTAGTAACTACTGTTCAGTTTACCTCCATGTATAGTCTTAACTCGCCTGCGGATTTTGATATTTCTATTACACAATTGGTTGGAGTCACCTCAATCACCTCTGCCGATAATAAGTCATAGGAAGATCTTGGTCTTATCTCTTTCGGCTGAATCTTAACCTGGTTATTTAACAACAGAAGATGATGCATTTATGAGATTTTTATCTAGACTTAATGATCCATAGAGAATCTGCAGAAAACTAACTAATAGTTTACCTTGAAGTGCTTTATTCTTTCAACTGATAAACTAACACCAGTTGCTGCAGCTTCAATCTTCTTGATTGTTTCTTGTGCTGTGTTTTTGGACCCAATCATTGTTTTATATCTCTTATCATCCTGGAGAGATAATAAATAAGGAAAAGTTTCAAGCATTAGTATGTCTTCGTTAGCTGAGTTACTGATTTAAAAAAAAAAGGTTTCCGAATCTTTTACATGTTCTTCGAAGAGACCTGACAAATCTAGATCACTAGACATTGCTATTATCTGAAAAGCATTTATGAAATTTGAAGACGCGGTTGCTGCATTTATTTCCGCAACATTTTCCTGCAAGATCGAATTTAGATAAGTTAAATATAGATTTGAGAAGTGTGTTATACTCAAAGCTGTGAACATTTCAGACATCTAGTGAATCAACTTGCCTTGATTGAGTCTGACACTTGCTGATAAGCAGGTACATAACCTATCTTAAACCAAGAATCTTGGATGATTATCTCAGCTAATGTCATTCGCTGCATCCAAATGTTTTCAAACATTATTACTCAATTTGGGACTGAAAATGATGAATGTGTATATATGCAGATTCTGTCTTGTTATTTACCCTCTGAGGATTTGGGTCAAGAATGTTAAAGATCAGCTTCTTTTGCTCTCTACTGAATCCCTGTGGGAAAGTGTAATCTGCTCTGAGTATCTTCTTATACAAAACCGCAAGCGTATGATCATCGAAAGGTGGATAACCAGCAAGCAACTCAAATAAAATTACTCCACAAGACCATACATCCACTGCTGCTCCTGAGTACCCTTTGTTCATAATCAGCTGTTTCCATTAACAAGATCAGCTTCTGCAGATGTAGAGATTTAGGAACACTATGAGAAGTCATTTTTGTATTACCTCTGGTGCTATATAACATGGAGACCCACAAGCTGTTGAGAGCATATCACCTGACTGAATTAAATAACCAAAATCTTATTTAGGACTTGACTGTTTCAAAGGGAATTATTTGGTTAGTAAATAGAAAGTTAAATGGTTAGAATTAGAAAGTGTTACCTTAGGCACTGCACTTAGTCCAAAGTCAGAAACTTTGAGATTGCCCTTTGAATCTAATAGCAAGTTTTGTGGCTGCAAAAAGCAAGATCAGATTATCAACAAAATTAACCAGGAGAAAAAAAACAGAGGATCTGCACAAAGTTAAAAGGTTATTATTTCTTCTCTTGCCTTAAGATCTCTGTGATAAACTCCTCTGTTATGACAATAATCAACAGCATCAATCAATTGCTGGAAAAGCTTTCTGGCATCTGATTCTTTCATCTTATGTCTTCCAAGTTTGTCTGAAAGCTGACCACCTGCAACGTATTCCATCACAATACAGATCTTTGTCTTGGTCCCAATCACCTGAAGTTAAAAGAATTTCACTCAAGAGTCAAAGAACAAGAAAACTTGATAAATTTGAGTATGAGGAGACAGAGTCAGAGACACAAAACCTCGTGTATCTGTACGATGTTGGGATGGTTAAGAAGCTTCATCGTCCGTATCTCTCTCTGGACTTGAGACTCTAGACCCTTTTGGATAACCAGAGCCTTGTCTATGATTTTGACAGCTACGTAGGTACCATTGGTCGTGTCGTAACCAAGTTTCACTTTTGCGAAATTCCCTTCTCCGATTGTCCTTCCTATCTCATATTTACCAATCTTCTTCGTCCCAAACAAACCCATCACTGAGACAGAGAAAGAGAAAAAGAGGGAAAAAGAAGAAGAAGAAGAAGAAGAAGATGTCAAATGATCTTTGAAGGGAAAGGAAAGTTAAGTAAACCAATGAGGCTGTATTAAGAGTTTTTAAATTCTCTTTGTGGGATCAAAAGTTTGACTTTTAGATGATATTGATCGTTTTTTGAAAGTAATAGAAGATATTGTTAGTGAGTTGTTTTTGACCGATTGGCTCCGTGAATGAAGAATGACTCGTAGCTCGTGACCCTCGTGGTGAGAATTGAGGATTGAGAAATGAGAATGTGTCATCATCCTTTTTAGCGTCTCTTCTCAACAAAATGATAATAAACAACGGTTTTTTGTGTGGATATATCTTCACAGTTCTACAAGCTGGTAGCTACGTGGATTGGACTGTCATTAACTCATTGTTGCTTTTAGTCTTTTCTTTCCCCCCTCCTTTAAATTTAGAAAATTAAAAGATAGATATCTGTTTCTCAATTGGTCGGAGGATCTAATTTTCGATAATATCCTTTTATTTTCTATCTTCATTAAATTATCATTGTTGGGACCAAAAAATTGTATTTTTCCTAGTGTTTTTAATCATTACGTTTAAAAAGAAAACGAAATTTTATCATCCCAATCACGACAGAAAATTTTTTGTCTGCTTTTTTCTTTTTCATTTTTGTGACGATTTTTTTTTCCACAAGTGGGATTACATTTGGCTTTATTTATTTCGAAAAAGAAAAAAAAAGTACAGATTCCCAAGATATTAATTTTCCAATAATTCAAAAGATCTCAACTTCAAGATATTTATATATATATATATGTGCCGACAAAAAATATAGACATGTAAAAGTATATAGTGGTATTCTAAGAAAAAGGTAATCCCTCCGTTTCATATTCTTCACACAAATTAAGAAATAAGATAAAATATCTTTTATATCTTTATTAATTTGCAGAAAATGACTCTTAAAATTATATTTATAATTAATTTTCTGAATTTATTGAGGTTAAAAATGGTATTTTATGTTAAAAATTACATTGAAATTCTATAACGACATTCTTTTTAAAACAAAAAAAAGAGTGTCAAAACGACACTCTTTATGAAACGGAAGGAGTATAATTGAAGAGTGAATTATTTTTTTTTAAAAGAAAATCTATACATAAAATAAGATTTTAGATTATGTGATAATTTTGCTACAGAAACAATTAAATATATTAACTATTCGTTCCAAATAAATTTCGATATTCCATATCTCTACGAAATCAATTAGTCGTATTTCATTTCAACAAGTAATAATAGTGACGCTTTGCATGTTTGGTAGTACTCCAAATAAGTAAAAAGGATACTTTTCAGTTAAAAAGAGTCTTTTCACTTAATTCATGTGAAAATCTTAACCAAAGTTGGTTATTCAATTTCACAAAACTTAAATCTTTGGTTATTCGTACCTTCATTGAGGAAATGAAATCGGATGAGAGACGCCATTTCCATGCCCGAGAGGACCAGACAGATGCGAGCGTTCTTCTTTGGGAGAGGATAATGCGCATTTGGTGGTTTTGGATTGGGAAAACAAAGTTTTATTCGGCGTCTGTAGAATCATAGTCGCCACGATCACTTTTCCGATGCTGATCAAGACCACCGAATCTCTGTTCTGCTTCTTCTCGACGTGTCTCTCCATCGTCGCCGATCAAACCCAGCCTGATCGATTTTTTTGAATTGGACTGATCTAAAACCCAGAATATCTGCTATTCAAATTCGGTCCCAATCAATAAAAAGGTAAACATTTGATTGGTTTTTCTCTTTAGTCGTAGTCGATTTTCAGAGTTACCATTTGTGGAATTTGGCAAATCCTGTTCATTTAGGAAAAAAATGGAACTTTTTCTCAAAGGCGTATCCTTTTTATTAAGAGAGAAGAAGAAGAGCATCTACGATTTTAGGGGTTTTTGGAGTGAGAAAAAAAAAATCAAGACTTCGATCAATGAGAAGTGCGAATTCTGTGAGCATGATTGCTAAAAGCGAAGAAGAGAACCCGTCGGCAAATCAGGGAGATTCTTCGCATATTTCGCGAGATGTGAACGAATCTAAAACCCTAGTCGAAGAAGATTTTGAAACAAAGGAAGCGGAAGCAGAAGAGGAAGAGAGTGGAGAGTGCCGTGCATGCAAGTACATAAAGGAAGGTGTGTGCAAGGAATCATGGATAGCATTGACGAAGTGCGTGGATGATGAAGCCGAAGCTGAAGAAGAAGAAGAAGAGAGTAACAACGCACCGAAATGCAGCGAGCTCAGAATGAAGTTCATGACTTGTATGTTTGATAACCCTGTCTACTATGCGCCCATTATTTCTGGCCAAGGCTCGAGTGGTTGCGAGGATGATAAGCGAGCTTCAAGCCGAGAAGGAGGCCGTTTTGGCTGGTGAGGCTACAGCCATTGCTAAGGCCTTGAGCAAGTTCCAAACAGAGGTGGAGGAGGAGCCCCTTCTGCCTGCTGAGGTTGCGGCCATTGCTAAGGCGTTTCAAGATTTGGAAGCGGAGAAGAAGGAGAAGGAAGCAAAGAGAAACGAGTAATCTATCAGAATTCGATGATGGTCCTGGTAATATCTTTTATGAGCATTTCATAGACTGAGTTTTTTTTTTCTCTTGTCTTGGTGGAATTTACAATCTTGGGTTATGCAGTTTGATGCAATTCTACAACTCTGTTATATTATTAAATCACCTTCTTCTGCCAAAAACTAGTTATCCTTTTGTTGGTAGTCGTAGCCGTAGTTGAACCCGGTCCAACCACCGGGTCTGTCTGGTTTTAAAAACGCTGGTGACTAACACATAAGCAAAGGCGCATCCTTGTTTCTTTGCTTACTTCGTTAACATAAATCAATGAGTAATCAAATCATTAGGTACAATTAAGAAAATGCAGAGAGAATGCTCTTGATCGACTCTCTTAGATCATTATCTGTTGCATAAAATAACTCACCGATCCACCATTAAGTGTTAACCAAGACCGAACCTTGTATAGGCACTGTAAAATAAGTTACAGGTATAATGAAAATATGGTTAAACATGGTGGCTTATAACACAGATTATAGAATTGGCTCTACCAGTTAATGGTGGTTGTTCCTCAATTTTTGTTTAGTTATATTTGGACTATAGGGTGAAAATATCTTCAAGATTTTTGCTTTTCAAGTGGTGTAAACTCTAAATATCTCAGGTTGAAGATAGATATTGTTTTGGATTGGTCTAAAGATATTAACTTATTTTGTTCTCTTTGTTATTATGTTTTTTTATTAATATTTAAAATATATATATATATATATATTGAGAAAAAAAATATAAAAAAATATTATATCAGATCAGGCTTCAATGGGCCCTTTCAGCGGCCCAATATAAAACTTATCTTACACACCTTTTTGTTATGTTCTGTCCAAATAACTCTAACGTGTCTTGCAACTCACTAATGCAATTAACAAAAAAAAATCTAATAAATATTCTTCATTTAATGTATTCGGTTGCATCACTGAGTCACGGAGACAGTAGGACATTTTTGATTTCTCACGGGTGAGATCAATTTCTCATATATATATATACTATTTTATTTTTAGTTTTTCTGTTCCAATATCCAAATACTGGTACCAAATTGAATCCAAAGATAATTGGCTGCGCTTGCATTAACTTATTTCAATATCTTCTTTACTCTTTAGATATGTCCTAAAAATAGAATAGAAGAATTGCTGAGTCAGAACTTGATATTCGGACGTAATTTCCGGATAAAGAGTATCGGACAATCGCTTTAACTCACCGATAATATCACAGCCGTCGATTTCATTAATGTTAAGGGCAAAACAGGAAAACAGAAAAAAAACAACCTGGCTTACGTCACATCAGTATCTGACTAATTCTTAATTACCCCTACTTAATCTAAAAATTACACTGTTTTATCTAATTCTTATATATATCTTTTCTATTTTATCCAAGTTTACAAAGTTCTCGGTTACATAAACTGAGTTTCCCATAGATTCCTTCGATTCGTATTTCTTAGCAAATTTTCCAGGTGGGTTTTAGTTTTTTCCTTATTCACTGCAGCGATAGTTGATTTCGATTTTACTCTAAGAACTGGGTTTTGGGTTTGATCTTTCGATTTTGGAATTGCTTTAGTTTCATGATTCAGACTATGAAGAAAGTAGAGATTTTGTTGCTCCTTCTCTGCTTAAACGCAGCGTCATTTCTAGTGGTAAGACTTATCAAAAGCTCAGTTTTTTTTTTCCCTTGCGATCAGTAAAAACATATCTTGAGCTTTCAAATTTTATTTGATTTGATTCGTGTGAAGTCTGCTGATCCACCAACATGTCCTGCGGATTTGGGAGGGAAGTGCAGTGATGGTTCTGATGATTGGGAAGGAGAGTTCTTCCCTGAAATCCCTCAAATTAAGTATGAGGTAAGTAACGATAAAACCCATATTTTTGTGAAATTTCTTATGATCATCGCTGAAATTCGAGTAGTTACTAGTGATTCAGCTGGGATTTATTGCATGAGTTAGATGAATTTTTGATTGTTCCACGAAATTTTTCCAGGGGCCTTCGAGCAAGAACCCACTTGCTTACAGGTGGTATAACGCTGAAGAGGAGATTCTTGGCAAGAAAATGAAGGTATGTAACTTTCTTCTGTTCTTTCTTGCAACATTTTGACCATGTTTTAATGATGTTATGTTTTTGTCCTCTTGAATTTTGGAACAGGACTGGTTTAGATTCAGTGTTGCGTTTTGGCATACTTTCCGTGGGACTGGAGGTGACCCATTTGGTGCGGCTACAAAGTATTGGCCGTGGGAAGATGGTACCAACTCTGTGGCTATGGCTAAGAGAAGAAGTAAGTAAAGATCTGTTTCTATGTTGCTTGTTTATCTTCATTTCCGAGTTAAATTTTTCTTTCTCTGATATTGTGCTTGAGTGAGTGAGTTCCTAAATGTTGTTTGATGCTGAAAATACAGTGAGAGCCAACTTTGAGTTCTTGAAGAAACTTGGAGTTGATTGGTGGTGTTTCCATGACAGAGACATAGCCCCTGATGGCAATACACTTGAGGTAACTCGAGCTTCCGAAAAACATCATGACGGTACTTTCAAGCGCTTGTAACCTATATTTACTCCTTTTTCTGCAGGAATCTAACAAAAATTTGGATGAAGTTATTGAACTTGCCAAAGAACTCCAAAAGGTGATAATTTCCCATGTCTTACTATGGCTTCTGTAGTTCATATGTCCTCCAACACAGGCTCATGTATCATTTTGATGAAACACTATCTTGTTGCCACATTACCTTTAGTTTGATGTGCTGAGGAAACGGTTCTTATTTCCCTTCAAATGCAGGGAAGCAAGATTCGACCGTTGTGGGGAACAGCTCAGCTGTTCTTGCATCCTCGTTACATGCACGGAGGAGCAACAAGCTCTGAGGTTGGAGTATATGCTTACGCTGCTGCTCAGGTTAAGAAAGCCATGGAGGTGACACATTACTTGGGCGGTGAAAACTATGTTTTCTGGGGTGGTCGTGAAGGTTATCAGACGCTATTGAACACTGATATGGGAAGAGAGCTCGACCATATGGCCAGATTCTTTGAAGCTGCTGTTGCTTACAAGAAGAAGATTGGTTTCAACGGTAAGTCTTCTTCTGCGTCCTCTTGTTCTGTGATAAGTCGTATGTTAATTATTGCAATATAATCTTGTATTCTCCAGGCACGCTTTTAATCGAGCCGAAGCCTCAAGAACCCACCAAGCACCAGTATGACTGGGATGCTGCAACAGCTGCCAACTTCCTGAGGAAATACGGACTTATTGACGAGTTTAAACTCAACATTGAGTGTAACCACGCCACGCTTTCTGGGCACACCTGTCACCACGAGCTTGAAACTGCAAGACTTAATGGTTTACTTGGGAACATTGATGCAAACACTGGCGATGCTCAAACTGGTAATTGTTTTTTTCCAGCTCTCTTGACTATCAGTGTCTCTTATCTAGATTCTGACTGAACAACGTTCTCTCATTGTCTCAATCAGGGTGGGATACAGATCAGTTTCTTACAGATGTTGGAGAAGCAACCATGGTTATGATGAGTGTCATCAGAAATGTATGCAAAACAAAAACTCATTCTCTCGCCAATAGTAGTTTCAGATGGAATATCATAATAATAGCATATGTTCATCTCTTGTCTATTTTATGAAATAGGGTGGGATTGCTCCAGGAGGCTTCAACTTTGACGCCAAACTGTAAGAGCATTTCTTGATTACCAGTGTTTTTGCTGTTTCATACAAACTTTAACTCAGAAAGAAGCTTATAATGTTTGATTTAACAGGCGAAGAGAGAGTACAGATGTTGAAGACTTGTTCATTGCTCATATTAGTGGAATGGACACAATCGCTCGTGGACTAAGAAATGCAGTCAAGATCTTGGAGGTTAGTTATTATCCCATTTCTCCTCAAAGAATCAAAGAGTGTAGCTTTATCGATTAACTTGGTCGGTGTGTGATGGTGATTGGTTAAAAGGAGGGAAGACTAAGTGAATTGGTACGCAAGAGATATTCAAGTTGGGACTCTGAGATAGGGAAGCAAATAGAAGAAGGAAAAGCAGATTTCGAGTATCTTGAGAAGAAGGCTAAAGAGTTTGGAGAGCCAAAGGTTCCTTCCGCTAAACAGGTACAAGTTTCTTACTATCAAAAACATAATTCTGCTTTTGTTTCGTTAAACTCACAAACTCATAATGATATTACAAAACACTGCAGGAACTCGCTGAGATGATTTTCCAGTCAGCAATGTAGAAGAAAAAGAAGGCTTTCCCTCTTATCTTTGAGAAGTTTGAAAACTGCAGAAAAATAAAGAATCAACAAGCTGTTTAGAGAGGTTGGTTTTAATTAGTTTCAGTTTATGTACTATGCGTTCACACTCTTACCCCAAATCGAATAAGAAAAACTGTTTGGATCTTACTAGAAATTTAATGAAGGTTTCTGTGACAAAGCCCAAAGCCTTATTCGTTCCATCTTTATCTATATCTTTGTGATCCATTCTTTGTAAACCATCTTTTTTTTCTATATCTTTGTGATCCCTTCTTTGTAAATAAAGTTGTTGTATACTTGTATCTACTACAATGTTTCTTCTTTTTGTCGTACTACAATGCTTCTTGACTTCTTCTATTAGATCTCAAACAAATTATAACAAGATAAAAGAGTGGTTTTTTTTAATCAACTGAGTGGTATTATAAAACCAAATTTTGTATAGCGATATACGCTTTCATTGAAATTTGTTTTCTTATCTTGTGTGCAAGTACTTTAAAAAAAAAAAAAAAAGATTCTTCAAATTAGCATTATTTAGATTAACGCTAACATTCATATTGAAATAGAGAGAGTTCTTACCTAACATTAACATAATTCATTCATTACTAGATACGAACTGGTTTTAAATTTGAAAATCAACGTTAACTTTCTTATACAGGATAACATCGGAATATGACACAGCTTTTGTATCTTATAGCAAAAATAATGGCTGAAAAGAAAATAATTTCTTTTAAAGGAGAAGAAAACCTCGAAGTGGCCACAAAATCTTTGAAACCTAGATAACATAGGTTGAAAAAAGTATACGGAATTGATATCCGTTATTGCTATGAAATAGCTGTGATAGACTTTGTTATAACATTTCTAATTTGCGACGACCTTGATGTAAAAATTACAATAATTGAGCCTTTTCTCGTCATGTAAATGATGGAATCCAATTGTTATCATCCAATTTCTAGAAATTTTCATACTTTGTTGTTGACGAATCATGTTTTTTCTTCTTTTAGAAAAAGGGTCGGCAAAAAGTAGCAAGTCTTTTCTTTTGTCGATTGTGGCCGAAAGTCGAGTCTCGTGAAAGGTCGCATTATCATAAATGGTAATAGTATAGTATTATCTTGTATATCCCATAATTGTTCCTCTTTTTATTTGACTATTCATTCACTTTTACGCAGAGAAAATTTCATTTCACTGTATAAACCAACTTGAATCATTCCGCAGTGGAGTTTGCATATTAGAATTATTTAGAAACGAAGTGAACATTATCTATTGGATTCACTTTCACCTAATAAAATTGGATTGACTAAAAGATTATTATTAATATAATTGTCTTTTTCAACTGCGTTCGCTCACTCTCACCTAACAGCATTACAACTTGGTGATCTTTTCATTTTTGTCACGTGACTACACGTCTATACGTTTTAAGTTTAAACGGCAAATTAAGCTCTTTTCAGATTTTCTTTTTTCAAAATACATGTAAGATTTTCGTAATAAGAAACACAAAAGGAGAATCGTGTAGAAATTTTCTGTAATTATATTTTTTAGTGGATCCTCTAGGAGTTTATATGAGACTTATGAGTATAGTCTGAAGAAATGTAATTGGTTTGCTACTTTAAAAATTCACAGGTCCATTTCCTTTGGACCTAGGTCCATGAATAATCTATATAATTTTCGTCAATATTATATTTGTAATGACAATATGAGGATGAAGGAAGACATAAGAGAATAAGATTAAACTACTGAAGTTGAAAATGAGTATGTTATTGGATTAATTGAGTTTTCTAACCACTTATCAGTTTGATGACTAATACTAATAGTCTAATACACGACCTTCCAACTCTCACACGTGTTACTCGAAATCAGAAGATGCTTACACGTATCGGATTATTTGCTATACTGGCAAGATCAGCTCACCGACTTTCCTTTGAGGGAAAGTCTTGTCTTAATTTTTAAATGTGATTTTTCAATTGTTGCTTCGCTGAATCTCATAATTAGCAAGTTTATGAAGGCATCGTGATGTGAGTGATTAGGTCAACGTTCAATGTACAGTTCAAATCAGTATATTAATGTATGCATTTGTATAATTAGTTTAATTATATATCAACATTGTAGTATTAATTACTATTTATGTTTTAGTGCGGTACTCGGAGCTGGCTCGACTGAATGAGTTACCGCCATTTCAATCCTTAAATTCATAGACTCATAGAAACACAGTCCCATGTTATCTACATTTAAAAAGATAGTGGTAAGAAAATGATGATAATAAGAGTTTTTTTTTTATCATAAGTTTGATGATGATATTTAATAGTGAATGTAATAAATAGGAATATGCAAAGTGTAGTAATATCTGTAAGTCTGTAACATCTATGTAATAGTAATAGATGATAATAAATCACCGGGTATTTTTTTCATCGATTAATATGGTAAGAACTTCATATCACTCGAGCAACCCAAAGCTTCTAACAGACTTAACAGTACATAACTAACGAAAAATTACAACTAGATGTCCATATTTTATGGAATCAGATTAACTAGACTCCATCGCAATTTAAAGCAACAACTTTTAACAATTAAGAGTGTGGACCACTAGCAAAATTTATTTCGACCGGACTGCGCTACAGTCAACAGTCTCAAAAACTAATAATCATTCATAGCAAAAATGGGCTCATTTAATTATTAAGTAGTTTATGAAAGAAAACAGTTTGAAAAGCCAAAATGTCATACTAGTATATTAGAAGATATAAGGATTGTAGACTAAATTCAAAGGTTTATTGAAACATGTTTTTTTGGGTTAAAAATTGAATCAAGTTGTTATATAAACAGTTGTAATATCTAAGCAGAATTAATTAACGTGAAAATGGTTAATGATAATATAAGTAGATTACGTGAATAGCCGACGCAAGGCATGACGTTTTCTGCATGCTGACACGCAAGGTTACGTTGTTTTGAATCAAAGGGTTTAGGGACTGTAAAATTAACCTGTTCGATGTTAAATGGTTCTGATGCCAAGACGCGGTTCAGTTTTCTAAACCGGATCGGAAGTGATATAAGTTTTCTTAATTAAAACCAGTAACTAACGACATATCCAACACATTTTTCCGTACTGCCTACACTGATTCTGACAATTCCGCATTCATTACTATATAATTCGACGGGTGTGATAAGTTAAATAATTCCATTACTGCTTTGCTGTAACAAAAAATAGTAATAGTCCATTCCTGCTTAAGTTGATTCTGACCTTTTCGCACCACTAACGCCAAACCGATATTTTTTTTTTTTTTTTTTTTAACACCAATTAACCGATATATTTTCTAAAAAACTTGTTTGAAGATTATGTTAATATTGTGATGAGGTAATATATACATTTTCGAATTGTGGTTGAATAGCAAATATCTTTCAGTACATTTACATTGAACCTATTGTTGTTGACTCAGAGTTGATCCAGTATCAGAAATCCTTTTTTTTAATGACAATATCAGAAGTCCTATTGCTAAAAAATCATGTTGAAATAAAAAAATATCAACCATTATATATTATATATACATTTTTAAATAGAGAATACTGACAATTTCTTCCACTAGTTAGATTTTTAAATTGACGATAAAATCTGGATGGGGTCGATTCGAGTAATGTACAGTGCATTCAGTGCCAAAAACAGCAGAACTTTTTTGCGTGTATCTTATGTCGGAAGATATGTCATAAAGATATATATCATTGGCTGTTAAAATAAAGCGAACTGTCAGATAAAAATCTATGCATTAGTAGTATTTGTATTTTAGATATATGTTACCAGACGGTCCAGACCTGAACCTAAAATATGTATATATATATATATATTATCAGATTTGAACCCAAAAAAAAATATATATATATATTAATTTGTTACCGGTATGTGTGAATATACTATATAGTAAGCAACCGCTTTAAAATAACACATTGTAAAAGTATACTGATTTCCATTTTACTGTTTATTCTTCGTGAGACTTAAAAACCAGATTATAAGATATATTTTTTTAATTTAAAATACTGCTAACTAACTGTTATATTAAAGTATAGCCATTCGACCAAAAAATAAATAAAAAGTAAGCCAATATTTAACTGCAAAGACTTAAAATATTAAGAAACATACACGTACACTACTATTTATACAATCACTTTTATAAAGAAAAGTTAACGTATTCTTATATCATAAGTGATAAAATGGTCTGAGATCCTCCTCCTCAGTCTTATGTTTATGGATTAATATCATAAGTGTTTTTCATAATTTAGTGTTTTAACTCAAACTAACTTTAGTTCAAACGTGAATGTCATATACAATTCTTTCCAAATTGTATATAGGGCTCATGTATATACAACAATAGTTGTCCTACCCTTTTCTCAAAAAAATAAACATATATATATATATATGAATAATAATAGTACAGTTGTCCTGCAAAAATAGGTCTCTTATGAAGTGAACGTCGAACACGTTGCTTTATAACACACTACAAAATACATCTTGCTGAAATAATAGTACAATATATTACCGAATCTTCATTACTAAAACTGTAAAACGAAGTCTAAAGCGAAGATATATATTTTATGATTTCTCGAAGTCAAAGTTTCTGAAATTAGAAAGAAAAACCAAATTTTGCTTCATGCCGGACTAGATTTTTTTTTTTTTTTTTGGGTTTCTGACTGCCAAACTAAGATAACGAACGCTAAATCATGCCGACCATCCTGTCATTTTCCTCAGTCTCAAAATTCCAATAATATCCCTTACACGAAGGGCCCTATCCAAACACAATACGATCATACAACTACATAAGCCAACAACTACGGAACCATAACTTATTAATATAATTGTTTAATTATTTTTTCCTTCTAAGAAGATAAGTATACATTTCTTGAACTGGATCATCAATTTTACTACTTGAAGCGGAAACAAAGATTCTTTTAGTAGCAATGCAAACAAACATGGAGCATGGGAACAAGTTCGTTAATCTTTGAAAGAGATTGTAAAACCCTTATTGACGTTCTCCAAAAAAATTAAAAGGACTTCCAGAACGAAAATATTTGCCATGATATAATTGGAGAAACAAATTTTTGACTTGTTTTTTCCAACATACGATAAGATCGAACAATAATCCGACATATCTTCGAACACAACATGGACCTCCAACTTCTGATTTTTTTACACCTTTGTATTCACATTTTTGTAATTATTCAAAACTGTTTATTCGGATTATATGTAACATCTTTTTAATATAATCGTTTTTTCGTAAAATAAGAAAACATAACTTCAAATATTTTTTCATTTACTTTCTTGTTCAAACAAAATATTTTTCATTAACTTCTTCAAGTTGATCAAAGCTGGGAAGAAGATAATTTTCAGTTTCTTTTCCTACATATATAGATACTGAATTACTTAATTTCCGAGATAACTGAAACCTTTTGATAAACTACTTGAATTGTTGTTTGTCAAGGCTATTTATCAGAAAACATACGTATCATGCAATATTTACATAAATTGGACAGTTGAAACCATTTTTTAAAACGGTAATTACAATCAGCTCATCACTAGATAAAGAAGACGGTCAACTTATCACTACCAAAATACAATTATGGCTAGTTTAATCGGTTAACTGAAACTGATTTCGTTGAATCCAAGCTCGAAAGAAAACAACTCTAGGTTTGGACACTTTCACTACAAGAATCGAAAATGCTTTGCTTATTTCATTCATACCGTATTTTCCAAGTTATAATTAAAAAAAAAATCCTTGTTTAATAATTAGTTTGGTGAGAGAATAATAAGAGTCATTTCACAAAAATTCTAAATCTTGTCAAAGGAGACGATAAGCTAGTGTCGATCGTTAAAAGAAATTCTTTCTATTATTATAACTTTAAAGAAGAAAACAGCAAATTAAAAACATTAAAAAATAGATTAAATCTACTCAAAATATCACACAAAATTATGCTGTGGTAGCAGAAAATAAAATATTTAAGAATTAAAGACATTCCGACATTAAATCTAAAAGAAAAAAGAATATATACAGGATACAGCCCAATTCTTTTTAATATTTAGCTGGTTTATTGTCAGCCTAATTTTCTTTTCTACGAGACATATTTCTCCATGGGTAAGGAAACTAGAAAAATAAGAATATGAAGACCCATACCATAATTCGACTTTAGAATCATATTTTATGTGGATATAATTATTCCACGTGTCAAATGACAATTCGATAATACATACAGTTTCTTTCTGTCTGACTGGACATGACAGATCATCTAAGCAAATCAAATACCCAACTCTCACACATTCTCAAACTTTAGTTTCCAAAAACTTAAGAGAGATTTGTGAATTTTAAATTAAGAAAGAAAAAAAAACAGTAGAGAGAGAAGTTAATGGGATTCGGCTTAAAGAGCATCAAATCAATCTCCGGCGGGTGGGGCGCGGCGGCGCGTTCCTGTGACGCTTGTAAATCAGTAGCCGCCACCGTGTTCTGCCGAGTTGACTCAGCTTTCTTATGCATCACTTGTGACACAAGGATCCACTCGTTCACGCGCCACGAGCGCGTGTGGGTCTGCGAAGTCTGCGAACAAGCTCCCGCCGCCGTCACCTGCAAAGCCGACGCCGCCGCGTTATGCGTCACCTGCGACTCCGATATCCACTCGGCTAATCCACTAGCTAGCCGCCATGAACGTGTCCCCGTCGAGTCTTTCTTCGACTCCGCCGAAACCGCCGTCGCGAAAATCTCAGCTTCGACGTTTGGGGTTCTCGGGTCAGGGACCACCGTCGATTTAAGCGCCGTTCCGGTGATGGGTCACTCCGAAGATCTCGGCTTGTGCCCGTGGCTGCTCCCTAACGACTTTAACGAACCGGCTAAAGTCGAGATCGGAACCGAAATGAAATCTTCCGACTTTATGTTTTCCGATTTCGATCGGCTCATCGATTTCGAGTACCCAAACTCCTTCAACCATCAGCCGCCGCATAACAGCGCCGGAGCAGACAGCCTCGTTCCGGTTCAGACCAAAACAGAGCCTCTCCCATTAACTAACAACGATCATTGTTTCGACATAGATTTCTGCAGATCAAAGCTCTCTGCTTTCACCTACCCATCCCAATCAATCAGCCACAGTGTAAACTCCCTCCGTCAAAATTCCTCTGCTTTCAATCACAAAACTGTTGGGTATTCAGAAAAATGTTGACTTTGGTTTCGAAAAATTTTCAGGTTTCGACTTCGTCTCTCGAATACGGTGTGGTTCCTGACGGGAACACATCCGTCTCGGAAATCTCGATTCCGTTTAAACGGAGCACGATCACTGGTTCGACGGCGACAACCGGAGATCAAGCGAGCTCCATGGATAGGGAGGCTAGGGTTCTGAGGTACAGAGAGAAGCGAAAGAACAGGAGATTCGAGAAGACGATCCGTTACGCTTCAAGGAAAGCTTATGCAGAGTCACGGCCAAGGATCAAAGGCCGATTCGCGAAACGAACAGAGACCGAAAACGACGACGTTTTCCTTAGCCACGTGTACGCATCAGCCGCTCAGTACGGTGTCGTACCGACGTTCTGATTTCCAATCTACGGTGGAAGTTTTTAAAAAGAATCACCTGCCGACTTCACCGTTGATTTACTGTTGGTGTATAATAATTATAGTGAGTCTTACCGTAGACAAACAATCTTATCCTCTCTACAGCTTCACCCGTTTTTACTTTTTTTTTCCTGTTTTACTTTCTCTCTCACTGCCACTGTAACTTTTTTTTTCTTCTATTTATGTATGCTTATTTTTATTTAGCAAAATGATATAAACTCATATAATTTGGTAATTATATATTTTCTATTGGCTGATGTTGTCTGGTCTCTATATTTGTTGACGGAGATTAGGTGGAGTTTAGCTTTTTTAATTATTTTGAGCCTCAAATCCTTGCTATTTTATCTAAACAAACGATATGAAAATAAAGATAGCGGGAATTTTTTAGGTCAATAAGACTTGTACTTTTCCCTTCATGCACCGGCAGCAACTTTGGGAGTTAAAAAATAAAATTTTAAGAAGTAAAACATACGTATATATTGAAACGGACTATCCAATCTACTGTTGAGATATTATTATATTTTTTCTCCCTGTTAGATTGTTTTAAGAGTCGTGTATGTATGTAATATTGTTATTGTATATTCCAATATATCTGGAACTTTCGCAGATTGATGATAATAGGCTCTAACTTTTTTCGGGAAGTCGGAGGAAAAGTAGGAAGAATGCAATTAATGGTTTTGTCCGAAACTTCATAAACTTTGCCTTTTGGGTTTCTGTAGAGCCAATCTTTATCTCCAATGCAGGAACGTGATTATTGTTGTCAGATAAAGTCAAAGTCAATTTGGAACTATGATGTTTTGTCGTAAGTCATCAGTGATTTATTGATTTATAGTATCTCCAATAGTCATTAGATATTTGATTCGCGGAGTAGTCGATTTTTTCAGTGAATTTGCCACCTTTTATCATTCATCCAACCATGCATAAAATTTGAAAATTTATCTGAGTATATACTATTTGTTAATTACTCGTATCTGTCGTGTCATAATCATCATTGATAACTGTATTTGTTGTGTGTATAAAAGCTTCATTTGTTAGATAACTAATAGTGATAAAATGTTCACATCGCAAATTTTTTTTTTAACTGATATGTTACATCACAAAATTGCAAGTTACAATATGCAAAGACGCTGTCATTACATGTTTTGGTTACATGACTGCTTCTTTGCGATGAGTTTAAGATTTTTTATACATTAAAATATGTTACAAAAATAGCAACTTATTCTGCTAAATATGTCCATAATCAACTAACAAAAAAAAACATAATTTTCTAAACTCATGCACACAATTCACTCAAACCCTATAATAATCTACAGTTTTATAGGAAGCTAGTAACTTCTTATGAGATCTATATCAAGTTTCGTGAAATTGTAAATACCCATGATCAATAATTTTGGATTGCAATAGGTGAATGAGACCTCTGCCGTCCAAGTGGGTTTTAGAGACCTTGATGCAAGGGGCAACTTAGGCATGATATTTGTTTGGAAGGTAGCTTAAGATTTGCAAATAGTGGCTACGAATGCTTTGGCTTTGGGGCCACATATATACAATCATAACAACGTTAATAATAGCGCATTAAAGCAAAGTTCTGACAATACATAGAACTAAAGTTTTGATTTATTAAACAAAAAACAAATAATTAAAAGTTCGATGTTGAGTGTCACGGATAATTTGGGTAAGTGTGGTGGTTTTCTCTCGATTAACCTCAAATTAAGCTCGTTAGGTGAATTATACCAAACTAATTGTCTATTGCATATTAGTCATATGATTATTAGTCTTATTAATTTCAATAAATTTGTTAACACATTTCTAATTAAGTTTGCATGGTAACGCGTCTAACTCACGTGTTAATGCAGATTTCATTGTAGCTATTTTAAATTGTTTATTTTTGTAAAACACTTTGGACTTAAAACGAAACATGTTAAATAACACCGCCTGAATACATATTGAACGGATTAACACCAGGGGCGTACGGACCTACTTATAAATTAGGGGTCATTTCTTCCTTATTACAACAAATATCGTTAGCTAAAATTATTAGTTTCTTCCTTACAACAAATCTCATTAAGTGACCCCTAATAATTTTGTATTTGAGCCCGTTTCCATTCCTTACACCTTATTTCAAAAAGAAAACTTCATCCTTTTCTTGTTTTTAGTAGAAAAAAAAAAGAATCAAAGGAATCTAATCTCTATTTTTATCTTCTAGATATTATAACTTATATAATTTCTCATTAAATGCGATTTGATTACTTTTACATATAATTTGTTCTTACCTTAAGATATATGAAAAGTTTTATGCGATAGATTTATTTATTTTGTCTAGATTTTCAAAATGTGGATTATGTAAGATAAACCATGACACTGGATCATACAGTTTTGAGAAAAAGATTACAAAGTGAAATGAAGCTTAAGGTTCATTAGATGAACCAGATACAATCGAGACTTCCACTTCCATTGGCTTGAATGATTTGGTTGAAAGAGAACTTAACTAAGTCCACTACGTTTTCCACGTTCTCGGTTTCCACGACCACGATCTACAGTTTTCCAGATCATCATTTTAACTTTTGTTGATAATTTAACCAGTCTTAATAATTGATCGCTTATATATAAGTAATAATACCTTTATAATCATGACTCGTGAGTCGTGAGTTTTGGAAACCATCTTTTTGTCAAACCAAGCGATCTATATTATGTAAAATCCTACCAATGTTATAAAAAAGGAGGTTATAAAGATAAAAGATTAAAGAGACATATTGTCACATTTAAAGGGAAAAAACTTCTTAACAGTTGAAACGTGAAACAAACAATAAATCGGGAGGTTATTTGTTGGCTCCTTGAAAGTGGGACCTGGTGGCCCAAAGTGGGTCCGAAATGGACTGGGTCGAAGAGGGGACAAGTGGAGGGTCCGACCACACCCTAACCACGTGCATCGCCGGCCCAAGGGCTTCTTTCGTGGTCCACTTCTGCAACTTAATCCCTATCCTTTTTTTTATAAACCCTATCAGCTGATCCGGTCGGCTCCGGTAGGAACGTACCGAAATGCTATAGTGTGGACTTCTCCCTAGTTTAACGATTCAACGGACACCATGAGCTTCGAGCGAACTCGAGTCAACGGACCATGAGATCCATAAAATCCAATTGGACCACCACACTACTTGTCCCGAGTTTGAAATGCCTTTCGACTAATGTCAGGAGGTAAACAGATCGCCTGTTACTGAACTATCAGGCAAACTACTTGGGTCTTTGGCCCAAACCCAGACTTCTCACATAATTATATTTTTTGTTTTCAAGGAGAATCGAACCTGGATGAAGTGGTGCAACACCCCAAACAACCCTTCTTTACCACTGGATCACAACGATGCGGGCCTTAATCCCTATCCTAACAGTTCCCATTTTCCACTTGATAAAACATTGTAAATGCGAAAAAATAGAAAGCTAACAAAAAGAAGTAACGACAAGCCATGGCTTACTTGTTCTTACATTGTCTAGCTGATTTTTTTTTATAGAATTTACTAGATATATGGAGGTCAGGACAAGAAAAAAAAACAAACTCTTATTTTTTGGCTTCAACGCCAAAATATTTTTAGTAAACCTCAATTGATGTATCGATATTTGATATTTCCCATTATTAGATATGTTATTACAAATCCCACCCAAAATATGTCACCATTTATATCCAGACTTTTGCTTTCTTTTCTTCTTGAATAGTATATGCTATTACAAATTCACCAGAAAAACTGTCACCATTTAGATCCATACTATTGCTTTCTTTTCTTATTGGAGTAAAGTGCTACTGCTTTGTTTTTATAAAATATTTTTATTCGGTAACGACAAATTCATCTATCTTATTCAACTCACACACACACACACATAATATCAGTTCTGCATAATATATGTAATACAATAAACATTTTCTTTATCTAAAAGAAAGATGTTGAGGTTTGTTTGGGCTAGCTCTGTTCATTGAGTTTATAGAACACTTAATTCTTAAAAATTCAAACCATAAGTATTGGAGAAATAGTGTCTTAGTTCTTTCTCAAAACTGAAAACAATATATTGTATACTATGTTTTAGTTTTGTGTCTCATGCATGCTATTTTTATCTTCTTAAGAGGCAAATAAACTAAACAGTCTTTGTTTAAAATTTGATAGTAACTTATTTCTATATAGTTGTGAATCTTGATATGGATGAAACCCCGTAAAATCTCATAAAGATACAAAAGAATGAGACGAAAAAAATCTATAAGAAAAAATCTAGTTGATACTAGAAATTAGAGAAAAACAAAATTAAAAGAAAAAAAAGAACAAAAAAAACAAATATTAAAAGGAAGAATCCAAAGGAACATCATATCCGAAAATCATAGAATAGTCATCCCATTCATCGTTATCCTCATCTTCATTAGTCATATCCTTAGGCATTCTCCAGCTCTTTGCAATCTCAGCCTCATTCCCATTTGTGAGCAACTCCAATACCTTTACGTACACAACACACAATGGATTCCATGAGGTTTCTGGACCGTTTGGTTCTAATATATTAAGTACGATTGATATCAAATATGTAACCAACCTGAGTCATGGTAGGTCGTAATATCGGAGATTGTTGAACACAATGCGAAGCTGTAAGGACAAGCCTGTTCATCTGTTGTTCGTCATACTTATCTTCCAATTTCGGATCAACCAACTCTCTTGTGTTACCTGATCCCATCGCCGGCTTTGCCTGTTTACCATTAGATTGTTTCCATCAATATATAATGGTTGATATTAGGAATTATAATCTAAAACAAGAAGAGATGTAAGAAAAACGATATGAAGTAATTCACTCATTTATCTTGGAAACGTATGAAACTTAATAATTCAGTCAAATTAGGTCGAGGGAAAAAGGCAACATTTGGCCATGTGACAGTAAAACATGTTAGTGGTCAAAAAGTCAACAAGGAATCTCTAAGCCAACCAGAGGGTTTCGTTTCGTGTCTTACAAGAAAAAGTAGGTATATGATTAGAATTATACCCATAAGAGAATGTGTTTCTGAGAGGGATTAACCGGTCTTCGTCCGCTAATGATCTCTAGAAGGAGAATACCAAATGCATAGATGTCAGTTTTCTCATCTACGGTTCCTTGCATCAAGGATTCAGGTGCTAGATAACCGAACGTTCCTTCAACCGGTATAACCGCATGGTGAGTCCATTTGTTAGGCAACCATTTCGCCAATCCAAAATCAGTTATCTGCACAATCATAATCATATCCAATATTCACACACACACACATATATATATAGACCGAATCCGAATTGCTTTTAGGACAAGAAAGCTCACCTGCGGTTCGTAATCAGGTCCAAGTAAAACGTTGGAAGATTTGATATCACGGTGAATGATTCGATGGCTGCAGCGTGTGTGAAGATAATGAAGCCCTCGAGCAACTCCAATCGCAATCTTGTACCGTATAGGCCAATCTAACAACCCGTTATCTTTATCTGTTCCGATTTTATTTCCAGCATTCCAAAACCAAATCTATTGTTAAAACTGTGTATTGTCTTTATAACAGGATTGTAATATAACGAAAACATCAGAGTCATAAGTTAGGTTACCGTGTAACGCGGAGTACAAGTTTCCGTTCTCAGAGAATCTGAAGACAAGATAGAGACCTTTCTCAACACAACAACCTAAGAGGTGAGCTGTGTTGGGATGAGAGACATGACTTATGATGCCTAATTCCGTAAGAAACTCTTTCTCCTTGTTCATGTCACCACTCTCTTTCGTTAGTCTCTTCACTGCGATTCTTCTTCCATCCCATAGATCTCCTCTATACACTTCAGAGTACCCTCCTATGCCTACTATGTTATCTGAAATTCAACCAAAAAAACTTAGATAATTCTTTAAGAAAAGTTTCAATCATTTTTTTCTTGGGTTAATGCATTTGAACCAAAGTTTTAAACTTTTGGTCTCTCTAATAATCTAATATGCTTACGTACCTTGATGAAAATCATTTGTGGCTTTAGAGATCTCGTTGTAAGTAAAGCATTGAATTAGAGGTTGAGGTTTGGGGTTGTTTTTGGTCTCGTTTCTTCTCCATTTCCTCAAAGGAGAGTTCATGATAAGAGAAGATATGAATCTGTATGGAGACATTGGCTTATGTTTGAGTATTTCTGAAGGCGAAGCGGAGCTGGAAGAAACCATTGAACCGTTGAAACTTGAAGCATCATCACCTGAAGAGCTAATTGAATCTCTCGATAGAGTGTTTAATATGCTGCGCGGTGAATACTTCTCACTCTTTATGTCTATAGAAAGAACATCTTTGTTTGTTAGTTGAATCCGCTAATAAATCTTAGTAGCAAACATAAATGGAATATTCTTATGATCTAACCTCGAGAAATCGTTGAGGCAGAGTAGCAATCTCTATGCGGTTTTCTTTGATTTCCAACTAAAACAACAGAGCAACTTGATGGAGCAAAGTCGGAGACATATCGTGTGATCTCATTCCATATTCTACATGAGGGAAACACACAAGGATTATGAATTGGGTCATAAATTTTTTTAAACGAGCTGGAAAATGTCCGGTTATTAATTACCTGAATACGTGAGTTGTTGGTCGGGAAAGAACAAGATAGTGAGCAGAAATCGACTTGACTTCATCGATTAGTCCTCTTCCAATGTTTGAGCTAAACCCTACTTTGGCTTCCAAATTCACCTATTAAGTTGGAAAAACAAATTTAAATTATACCAATAATTGTGATTATTTACTTTTTAGGGAACATATTATAAGCCTAATATATTGTGATAACAGTATGTATTTCTGTGTGTGAGCTGAGAGCACGCGCGTTTTCCTCTGTTTCGATGCCAACGGTCCTGAGAATTCACGCGCGTGACCTCGATTTGTTATTGGTGCGCCTGCAATTCTTCATTCCCACTTTACCTTTGTACACCACACGTGTGTGAAAGAATCGATTTCTTTTTTTTTTAGTTCTCATAGAAAATAAAGTGTTTTTTGGGAAAAGAAAATAACGCATTTGCTGGGTTTTAGATGGGCTTAGTATCACCATTAACACTAATTCCTTCGAAAAGTTCAATAAGTCAAATTACAAATTTACATCGTGTTCAGGTTTTTGATCGGCTTTATTTGAACAATTCTCTTATCAAAAAGAGTCGAAGTTTCAATCTTTATGGATTCAGAAAAATCAATTCTCATGGATGTAGAAAAATCATAATTGATTTATTTTTGTTAGTTTTTTTTTTTTTTTGGTGAGTTTCACGCTGAATGAGTAGGAATTATCCTCACTGAAAACTCTGAAATTCATTACGTTTCTCTCGTTAAGATTACCCAAAGTCCGGTTTAGTTCGGTTTATAATGTCACATTTTTAACATCGGTTTTAAATGTACTTTAGACCAAATTAGAAAGAAAAAAAAGGGGGAAAATGGTCGTACTTGGTTCTGGCAACAAGTGTAAGCGAACTCGCCAAGCATGGAGATAACATGTGCTTTGGCACAACGAATTTGAGTTCTCTTCTTCTTCTTCATGGGTAGCTTTCTCGGCTCCTCACCCACTGCAACAACAACGTTTTAATTTCCTAATTATTCATATGATCAACTACGGAAAAAAAGAAACAGAGAAAATTAGGTATATATTTATCCTAACCAAGAAGATGAAGAGCAACAACAGTGTCACTTGGTTTAGCAAGAATATTGATGGCCCAAGACAGAACATTTTGGCTCTCGTCGGGGTCCAACGAGATCGCCACAAGTATCTTGTTACTAATACTACCTTCTTCTGAAGAAGATATCATTTGCATTGGCACTTTGTTCTTTTGTCTCACTCTAATTAAGGTCGGCAATTTTTAGAACACAATGATTCTATACAGTTTGAAGAAGAAGATAAGTGTTTTTGTTTTGTTTCTGATAGATAGAGTAAGAAGAAGAGAGACGTTTCGAGATTAATAAAGAGTGTGGAAAAGGGATGATCATTGCATGAGATAATCATTAGCTGTGTGTATGAGTCTTGACGAAGAAGCATAAAGCGCCATTAATTATGGCCTATGATATTCAAATCCAGTTATCTGTATATTATTTTGGCATAATGTTACTCAAGCATCAAAAGTTAAAGTTTAGAGCTAGAGTTAAAAAAAAAAAAAATTCTTTTAGTGGTTTATCAAAACTCTGATTTAGATTCATAACTCAGAGTTTGAATTCGATGTGATGCTCGTCTTTAGTTCAGCGTTCGAAGTCATGAATGTGTTTAATATGATAATTAGTTGATAATATTTTTGTTTTTAAAGCCGGATTATTTAAAGATGTAATAAAGAAATTAATTGTGTTGGTCACTGAAAACTATATGTAAATTTATGGAAAAAGGTATAAGTTTTTGCTCGATATTAGCAGCTAAACCTATCGATCGAAAATTCGTTGAGTATCAATAAAACATACACAGGCAGAAACTGTTGTTGGAAATCAAATGCTAGTCTAAAGCTAAACAAACATAAAATATTATACTTTGTAAAATATTATATAAAAATAAGGATAGATTAGAGACAATGATGATATTTGAAGTGAATGTGGTTGGATGATTTGTGGTCTAAGCAAAGGCCAAAGGGACAAAAGGATGTGTTCTGTTGTTGTTTGTAAGTGGTCTCATCTCATGTTCTTGATTTAGTCTTCCTCTCAAAGCCATTGTTGCTCTTTGGCGCCTCTGCTTTCTTATTATATCTTATAATCTTGTTTATCATTCATATAAAAGAATGATTAAATGGTAGTTTAGGATCAATGATCTGAAGAATACATAGTTAGTATGAAAGAAATGAAAAGAAATATTGTTTTCAAAGGGTTGGTAGAGAAAAGTGTGAGCCTTGGATGGCAATCCAAAAGGGGGAAGATATATATTTAACTTTTTACAATGAATGAGACTTTGAGAAGAAATTAAGTACACAATAATTAATTAGATACTACAATTAAAATTGATTTTAAGGGTCATAATAGAAATGGACCAAAAGGTACTATCAACAAACAAGACGTTGAATCATATAATTACATGTGCAATTATTCACCCAAGAATACTTGGCTTTGTTTGTCTTATACTACACAACACTAACCCCCGTACACATCACACACGTGCATTTGATCTCGCAAACTCGGGGTCTTCGGACAACACTGGAATATGAATTTAACGACTTAAGACTAATAATATTCTGTTTATTATTCTTTTCTGTTTTTTTTTTTTTTTGTGGGTTTTTCCTGTCGTCCTCCTGATCGTTCTTTGGCTTTTGAAATTTTTTTCTTTTTTTCTTTTATACACAAAGACAAGATAGCAAACTCTCTAAGATTAAAGATCCAAGATTCAAGTGTGTTCACTGTAATTTTAACTATGGTTCGACATAAAAAATGTTACAAGAAAGGAAAATCTAGAATACTAGTCCGACTCATTGTTTTCAGTTAAATTTCAGATATTTATGTTAAAATTAACTATCATGGAGTTTAAATCGGCCCGGTTAACACAATTTTATTGTTTGCTACATTCCTTTTTGGTAAAAATAAGATAGTTAATGAATTTATGACCCTTTTCCCATTAATTATCGGTTAGATTCATGTTGGCCCAAAGTTTGTGTGAGGGAACAAAGTGAATATAACCACAAATGGGGCCAAATCAAACCTAATATCGGCAGACTTTTGTTTCACGACCCAATAACCAATATATTGTGATGGTCCAGAAACCTTTTGACATCTAAAATCGGGATAAACATACTGTATGTCGTATCCGGATTATCTGAATAGCGGTCGGTAGTTTGAGATGTGTCCTTCAATTTTTGACATTGTAAAATAATCTCGTTTTTAAAAAAAAAAAAATTTAATGTTAAATTATATTCAACAGAAAAATAATAGTTCCTTATAACTTTTTCTAAATGTTTTTATGGTTTACAAATTGAACTGTATTGCAAAAATAATGGTTTACAAATTGAACTTTCTAAGTCAAATGATCGAGACAAATCTCGTTAATTTTAAACTGACAGTCAAAACATCTTACCCACCAAGTCAGCTAACAACGCACATATATGTTAGTTTCAAATGATATAAATTCGAGAAGGATGCGAGTTTATGCCATGTCCTCTAAACTATAGCCTCTATCATTAGACTACAGACGCATATCAAAAAATATTTTTAATAGTTTCTCTACCGACAGAAATAAAACCCTAAAACCTTCAAACGCAAATGCAATGAAACCACTAGAGTCACTACTCACTAGACCACAAGCCCCTCAGAAATTTACAGTAGTAGGAAGGATAATAGGTAATCCATTTAAATAGCATGATTTGGCAACAACTGTTTGACAGTTAATCACAAAACTTAAATAATCTACGAACGTAAATGATGACTCCCTATTATAGTATTGGTAATCCATTTAGATAGCGTGATTTAAACATACAAATGATTGTATATTTAAAGAAGCCGTAGCTTCAAAGTAATTGAAAGTAGAAACCTAGCTAGGTCTAGAAGATAAGATTGGCATTAGGAAAAACAAAACCCTATGGATGTTGACAACTCTCTCAAAATTGAGAAATACTACTCATAATTTAATTTATACTAGAAATTATGCTACAAGGAAATAAATCAACACACTTAGGCCATCGATTTGACCTAACTGCTTCACCTCGCCGCATCAGAGACACCTATGAGAATTTAGTTCCGACTATCTTCTACACGTGCCTCCACACGTGCCTATGGTGCTGCCTTCACTTTTCTGACCTGGAGAAGACCCGGAACCTCTGCAATTTGTTTTCTTTTGCTTTCTCCCTCAAACCACTTGTCACATTTATCCCACGTAAAATACATGAACTGGACCTGACCATAACAGTACAATTTTCATCATACTAATCACTTTTTCTTTTGGGGATGAAATATAATCATTCGAAGTCTCAGATACTTTGTTTTTTAGAAATATATTTACTAATTTTCCATTCAAAGTCTCAGGTAGTTAATTTTTTTTAGAAATATATTCACTATCTTCCATCCAAAGTCTCATATATTTTACAGTTTTTCCCGGATTTTTCCTTCGTGACCTAGAAATGGAACAAAACTGATAAATTACAAACTCTGACAACTAAAAAACCTAACATTGCAAAACTGAGAGATTAAAAATCATTAAATAACATCGTTAATACAACACCTCTTTATAATCCAATCCCAATTCCATTTTTTTGTTTCCAAATTTTCCACCACCGTAAGATTCAGATAATTATATCTCATCATGTAGTGAGCTCTGACCCGACCCGATTTCCCGATGCAACCGGGTCAGATGCAAACAATTTCTGAAAAGAACTGTTCACAAAAGACGATCCTCTGTTTTTCTCTTTACGTGCTCTGTTTTTTCAATGTGTCACACCGTTACTTTCGCTACTCTGTTTCACCATCTGATCACTACGATCCACGTCATCATCACCGTCATCATCGTTACAAGTGCAGCTTTTTTCCGCCGGCGTCGCCAAGTAAGTGGGTTTTACATTTCCGGCCATAATCACCAAGAATTTCTCCGGCAAAGCTACAGGCTTCACCGCCTTTTCGGGTTTCCCATCTCCGGCCTCGAGATCTCTCTCTCTGCTCTGATTTTCCTCGCCGTCGAGATAACCGGAGAGACGCCAGTAAGAGCAAGCGAGGATCAGAAGAGCAAAAGCGATGAGACCAAGCATCGCCGCTAAACCACCGAAGAGATACGGAACCGGTGAATGCCACGGCGAGTGAGGTCCTCCCATGGTGGTTCTATTTCCGTCGATGTTTTCTCTCGGAGGGTAATACTGTCTTCCTTCCATTTTTTTAGACTGAGAGAAAGAAAGAGAGTAAGAGCAGAAAATTTTTGTTTTTGAGTTTTTTTTTTTAATCAAATAAAATGTTTTGGTGAGAGGAGGAGAAGTGTGACGATGGGATTTATAGAAGAGAGCTAGCGAATTAACGTTGTGGATTGTGTGTGACGTATCATCAATTTTTATTATTTTGCGTATGAGATTCTTTTTGGTTCGCTTTTCTTTTTTTTTTAAAGATAATAATTTTCTGTGTTTTGTATTGTAGTTTAGAAAAAAAGAAAAAACAATGAATTCAGTTTATGTTTATCAGTTATCATTAATGATGATTATGTGGAGTCGTGACGTGAGTACATAACTCTGCTTGTATCGTTTTTGTACCGTTTGGTAAAGTAATAGAGGTGATGCTTCCAAACGGATTAACTGCTGTAATTAAGTTTGTAATTAATACTACTTCCATACTTTTAAGACCAAATAAGTTTTTCTATAAAAGGAAGTTTATGTATGATGAATCAGCAAACACACTTAATTCTAGTACGTATTTAATTTTTTTTTGCGACTTTTGCGGTTGAAGAGATTTAAAATCAATCACAGTTTCTACAACCAGCTAGTTCTACAGTTTCTAAAATCACTTACAAAGCTTGAATAATTCACATACCAATAGTATATACTTATTTTTCTAGAGTTAATTAGATGTGTATTTTTTATTCACATCCATAATTAATATAAAAAATTTGTTAAAATAAAAAACCTATTAAAGAACTTAGGAGTATGTTGAGACTCTAATTTTATGCGTATAGATAATGTTATGTGTGTATCTATATATAAATATAGCGAGACGTGTAATTATGAGTTTGCGTTGGTTAGTTAGGTGATCAGTTGGGACCCAAGTTAAGGTGGTGTGTTTCTTAATTAGTATCCCTTACTACTTTTAAGCTTAATCAGTGGATGATTTCGAAAAATATCTTCGATTCAATCATACTTTGAAGATAAACAAAGGAATTTAATAAAGTAATCATTTATTGTAACACTTAAACACTGTATTAGATAATTAAAGCAATCATTTATTGTAACACTGAAACACTGTTTTAGATAATTAACAACCATCTACATAGTGTCGAATCCACTAAAATAACCTCGCATAAAATATTGCATGACTTTATGTGAATATCTTCTTAGTAGTTATGTTATACTTTAGTAGTCTCAGTGAACAACTAAGCAGGTTAATTAAGAGCTTAAGAGAAACATCTACTGGATTGATAATTGGAAACATGAGTCATGAAATTGATATGCATGTTTAACTAGGAAAACACACAAATCCAATGATTTAATTAAAGAACCCTCTAAGGAAGAGGGAGGGTTTAAGAGGCATTAAGGGAAACGAGATAACGACAAGCGACTGACAGAAAACGGGTCCTTTAAAGCCGCTAAAATTAGGTTAGCGATGCAAACGTGAAGTGATAGCAGCAAACGTTATAACCGTTAACGCCAAACAAATAAAGTGAACCGTTACCTAAAACAACTAAAAATACATGTTTCTTTTCTTACTTCGATCTATTGTATATAATTAATAACCAATATTTATAAGGAAAAAAAATAACAATAACCAACCATTATTGCAGCTGGAACATATTGATCTTGATCAATCAGTGGAAAACAAGGTTACAAGACTCACAGATGCTCAAATGTGTAAAGTAACTTATTTTTTCAATTATTATATGATCGAAACACCTGATAGCGTTTACTTTTTGTTTTGTTTCTTAAAAGATTGTGAAAACGTTTACTTTTATTCTAAACCAGCTAATCGATCTAATATAAGAAAACAAATTGATGGGAAAACTAAAATTAGAGCTTTTCTTGTTTAATCTTTTATTTTATGCCTATGAACCTGAATTTAAACCAAACTTATAAAAAACTGATTTTTTTTTTACTTACCATGATAATAAGTCAATTCTTTTATTTATCCTGATACTACTATTCAGAGGCGTGCTTACTATGTAGTGAAAAAGGCCGTCGCCTCAAGCCCCCAATATATGTAAATTTTTTAGAGCCTCCATTTTCAAATAAGGTGGTTAAATGTTTTAAGCTTGGTCGTGAGTTTGTTTTCTTATTTTTGTTAATTAATTATGAAATAGATAAAAAAAGAAAATAATAGATTTAGGAAATTAATTAAGATTACGTTCTCCCAACAAGTTTAGGAAATTGATTAAGATTTGCTTATGATATTTTAAAATAAGATCAAAACCTTAAAGCCCAAGAGAAGAAAAAAAAAATCCTTAATATGAGTAAATGGTAATTTGGTCATTTTTTCTTCACCCTAGACTTAAAGATTTCGGCCCCCTCCCTATATAAAGGCTAGCCACCTTCTTCTGAGAGACACAAATAGTTAACGCAGTGAAACTCTATAAAAACCTTTGCAATATCAGTTTAAAATTAGTCCGAGTGAGGGTTTTGCTGAGTCGTTTGCCAGCAACTCAGATCGAGCTAAGTGCTGATCTTCATACCTCTGAAAAGATCTTGCTGCAAGGAATCCATAACAGTTTGCAGATCATAAATCCGAGGTAAGCTCCGTTTTTTACGAGAGCTGAAAGTTGGCGAAAAATCATTTTTTCTGCAAACCCAAAAAATTCTGCAAATCTGATTTTTTTCAGTTTCGCAGAGCCAACTTGAGAGAAGTTTATTTAATTTTAACAAAACAAATTTTAGACAATAAATGAATATTTAATGAGTTTTATTCTTATTAAAAGTCGTTAAGTGCTTGTAAATCAAGCTAGGTTTAAACCGCAAGATTAGGGTGTTTTAAACTTCTTCAAAATTTCAGAGACATCTTTACTTCACCTTTTTTATTCTTTTGTTTCAAATATTTGTTCTATATATTTTTCTATGAGAATGTTGATTTGTTATATTGTTTATTTTCATCTTTGATTTTAGAAAAGATGCCTCCAAAAACGTATCCAAGTGGAGCAAAAAAGAGGCAAAAAAAAAAGAAAGACGAAGCATATTTGAGATCAGTGCAAGGTTCCATTCACAAGTTTCTTATAAAACCTTCAACTAGAAACCCTAATGAATCTGTGAGAATTGATGATGAGTTTGATGATCTAATGGGAGATGAGAATAAACAAGATGCTGAGAATGTTAATAGAGAAGATGAGAATATTGACATAGAAGAGGATGAAGATCCCGGTGAAGAAGAGAATGAAGATGTGAATGATCACGAGAATATGAATTTAGATTCAGAGAATGCTGAATTTGCAGAGAATCAAAGGATTTTAGATATTTATGATCCTGGAAACTGGGGAAAAATTGAGTCTGGATTCAGAATTGTCATGGTTGAAAAAGGTCCTGCTGCAAGACACAATTGATTTTATTTTTCCAAAGCAGAAGGCTAGTGGTCGACACTTCTCTCATTCGTACTATATAAGAACTTTGAATAATGGGAAAAAGCAGGACATGCGTTGGCTCGTTTATTCAAAAACCTTAGATAAAATCTTCTGTTTTTGTTGTAAATTGTTCACCCGAGACCAAAATCATAGTCACATGGCAACTAAGGGATTCAATGATTGGAAAAACATTTTAGAAAGACTTAGACACCACGAGACTAGTCGTGAACATATCAAATGCATGAGCCTGTGGATGGAATTTAAATCGAGGCTGCAGAAAAACCAAACAATTGATAAGCATGTGCAACAAGAACTCTACAAAGAGAGGAATCATTGGAAATATGTGATGATTAGAATTTTTTCGTTAGTAAAAACACTTGCTAAACAAAATTTAGCATTTCGTGGGTCAAACAAAAAGTTAGGAGTAGATGGCAACGGAAATTTCTTGAGTTTCATTGATTCGATGGCTGAGTGGGATCCAGTAATGAGAGAACATGTTCGACGTTTTGAAGATGGAGAATCTCGCTATCATTATCTCAGCAATAGAATTCAGAATGAGTTGATAGCAATGATAGCTGGTGAGATCAAAGGTATGATCATAAAAAAGATTCAAAGCGCGAAATTTTTTTCTATCATTGTTGATTGTACTCCAGACATTAGTCACCATGAACAGATGACTCTTATTCTTCAGTGTGTTGATGTTTCAACAACTGTAGCTCAGATAGAAGAATTTTTTCTCAGATTCTTGATAGTTGATGATACATCTGGTGAAGGCCTTTTTCGTGAGATTCAGAAAGTGTTGGTTGCTCTTGATTTGAATATTGATGATGTGCGGGGACAAGGATATGATAATGGGTCCAATTTGAAGGGAAAACATAAAGGAGTACAAAAGAGATTCCTTGATGTTAATCCACGTGCATTTTATACACCATGTGGTTGTCACAGCCTTAATCTTGCACTTTGTGATATGGCAACGACTTCTGAAAAAGCCATTTCATTTTTTGGGATAATCCAGCGTATTTATTGTCTGTTTGCATCTTCAAATAAACGGTGGAAGATATTAGAAGATATGGTGGGAGGTTTGACAGTTAAGTCTCTATCGCAAACTCGGTGGGAGAGTAATGTTGAATGCGTTAAGGCAATAAGGTTTCAAGCTCCAAAAATAAGAGATGCTTTAATTTACATAGCAGAAACTTCTGATGATCCAAAAATACAGAGTGATGCTGAGTGTCTTGCGACAAGTGAAACCCATGGGATTGGAAATTATGAATTCTTTTTGTCTATGGTGATCTGGTATAAACTTCTATTTGCTGTTAACACTGTAAGTAAGAGTTTGCAGTCAGAAGACATGAATATTGAAGTGGCTGTTTCTCAGTTGAAAGGACTTGTTACTTTTTTAAAAAATTATAGAGAAACAGTATTTGAGAGTGCAAAATCAGATGTTAGGCAAATTGCAGAATCTATGATTGAAGCCATATTTCCTGAGAAAAGAAAACGTATCAGCAGAAGAAAATTTTTTTTTGACGAGGAATCAGAGACAGTTGACGAAACTGTGAATTTATCTTCTGAAGAGAGCTTTAGAATTTCTTATTTCCTCCAGGTCATGGATCAAGCTCTATTTTCTCTTGAGACAAGATTTGAGCAATTTCAGAAGTATGAACAGACATTTGGTTTCCTATTTGATTTGGAGAAATTGAAGTCAGCAAGTGATGAT